TGAAATTCTCGAAATATTCCGGATTTTTTTCATTTTCCGGAACTTTCTCGGAACTTCTGAAAAAATCTATAAAGAATCCCGGAGCTTTTGACAGACACGGAATGATAGCCGTGAAACATACGTAAATTTCAAGTAGATATCGCATTTGTTTTCCTCAAAAATTTGCCCCCGAGGGTTTGAGTCTGAGCCATATTTGAGGTCAATTACCGGAGTGTGCGGTGGGAACTCAATCACCGGCTCATTTTCCAGTATTGCGACTGTGATTTTGAGCGAGGCTGAGCAGACAAAAGGAGAGGTTAAGGAGCAGAGCGGAACTTGCGAGGAATAAAATGAAGGAATTACGCGCGAGAGGAAGTCGTAAAGGATGTCGAGTTTCGAGAGAGGACTCCCGTTTCCGGCCAAACCGCGCAACGCCACCCGAGACCGTGCGTGTCGATAGGCGCTTTTCAGCGGAGCACTGTGGAGAGGAGGGCGGAATCATTGACGCCGCACCCTGCCGCGTCGGGACCATCACACCAAGGTCGCTTCGAATCACCAATGATATTCATCCTCTCCAAGTTGCCATGAGGAAATTTGGACGTATTCATGCTAAAAGGAACTACGTCTCACTCAAACCTTACACACATAGTTCCTTTTAGCATAAATTCGTCCATTTCAAACTTCTTCTTGCCAGATTTTCCGCTCGGTGTCGCCTGGGAAAACAGGACGCGCTGATGGTTTTAACATCGACGAGATACAACTAAACGTGCTTTACGGATGTCCTTGCTGCATATTCAACATTTTGAAGGCACTCATCTCTTTGCTCTAGCGCCGGGCTATGCTTTGAAATGACGAATTGCTAGCCGGATTCTGTGCTGCTGAGCAGCGTTTCAAAAGCGTTTGTGGGTACCTAGTGAAATTATGAAGCCACAAAACGATGGTGAAACTGCAAGCGTATCTCGATAGCGGTGTTTTAAGATCCCCGCTCCTTTAATATTGCAAACTTTCTGGAATTACTTTCTAAAGAATATTAATTTTTTTGTTGTTGTTCTAATGGTTGTTAAACATTATTTTATCAAAGCCTTTTTTAACAAATCTTTAAAATACGATTATAAATTATTTGAAATAGACTTTTATACAACAATAAAACATGTATTAATCATTATATGCCCAAACCGGGTTAAATCGACCCGAGGCTTGTTGAAAATACGCACCCGCTGGTTATATCGTCGCCCCTGTGATGTAAGGGGGTATCTCAATTTCCAAGTGAGCCCTGTTTCACATATAAGCCCCTGCTTTCTGGGGCTCATGCGAGAATTGAGATACGCCCTTACGTCAGAGGAGCGACGATATGAGGCCAGTACACACGCGCTTTAGATGTATGTCTACAAATACATCGTTAAAAAAGAATCGGACATCAAATTGAGGAAAAAATCGAGTGTCAACACAGCCGAAGCTAGGAGGGCCGTATTCGAGCCTCGTTTCTTAACTTTTCTCCCTAATCTGGCAGCATAGAGCGGAGCATTGCGAGTTCACGCCTCGCGCCATCGCGCCTTCAATTTTGCAGACGCAACACGGACATCCATCGAGTACAAATAGTTGTATCTCTGCGCCGTCATCAACGCGCGTCCTCCCTCTTACTCTGTTTCCTGTTGTGTTTGTTTCCGTTTGTCTTATTATTGTAGTGGCGCTATAATGGCTAAGTAAGCAACACAGCTGAAGATAGAAGAGACGTAATCGCGCCACGTTTTTTAAAAATTTCTCCCGAATCAGAGCCAAAACTTATTGGCAGTGTAGAGAGGAGTGCATTGCGGGTTCACGCCTCACGCCGATGAATATTCTGCAAAAATTTTGAGTGAGCGATAAAGTTGGTTCGCTTACGTTTCAGAAATGCGCAGGATTGAAACGAGAATTCTGAAAAACTGAAATTTTTAAAAGCATGTTTGAATGCTGACTATCCACGCTGGATCATTTTTTGAGCCTAGAGAACTTTAATATCCGAAAATATCATAGAGATCATCATCGCATCAATAAACAAGCAGGGAATTCCGACACCGAGTTTTGGAAGAGCGCGCCGTGAGAATATATCTATATTACTACATTCTGTTTTATGCGATTGTGAAAGAGCTAAAAATATGTAAAAAGAGCTTGGAGCAAATTTTCGCGTCGTAGCGGATTGTCAAGATACAGAGCGGTCCCTGAATAAGGTAGGAATTGAGGGGAAGCAGAAGTAACGCTCTTTAATCAAATTTTACGTAAAAAATAACTAACGCAACAAAAAGATCGGAAATCAGCATCAAAGCGAGGTATCAACGCACACACTTAACACTGATGAAATGGAATACAGATAATACAAATTACGTCATGCGTCAGTTGTATTTTTGCCCTGAAATAATGTTACTTGTAAATATTTAAGTAAGTCTTCTCGAGAAGTTGATTTTCGAACTTTCTGCGTTGTTTGAGTGATTCTCCGTGTAAAATTGTGAAGGAAAAACATGCAAAAATATAACGGAGTGCGTCAAGTTGTATCTTATCTTGTCATTGTAGGAATAAATAAAATTTAGGAAGCGGAAAATTAAAAGTTGAAAACATTTACTATTACCTATCTTCTCCTTTTTTTTCAGCTTGAGGCGGGGAAACCGTGTTTGTTTAGAATCCGAATGTGATGAGGAGAGGCTGTTATTTACGGATTTACTTTTTTACAATCGTTATCTGGTCAAAAATGTCAAAGAGAGCATTTGGAGAGAAAGAGATAAAAAGAAGAATACCTACATTAAGAAAATAATTAATTCAAAATGAAATTTTAATGAATTTTTTTCATTCAGATTCAAGAGGACCCCATTCATTAGACTAGTGCAACCCACTTCTAATTTGCTTCTCGCGTTACATTATATTGTGCGAATGTGTCAGCATTTTACAACAGAGGCAAATCAAAATATATATATCGAAATTTAAAGTTATACCCTGTTTTGTTGACACAGGTGACGTGAGAGCGCACAAATAAGAACAGAGAGGTTCGGCTTATGCCCTAAATATTTCCTGTCGCGCTATCAACTAAAATTGTTAAAAATGAGCGAGAAGTCTAATATGAGTATAACCTCATCTCCGGTCATTAAAATCATGATTACGAAATAAAAATTTAATAGGCAGTGAAAATTTTAATCATGAAAGATATTAGGGCCATCATGTGATTTTCAATGCTGTTGAATACTTTCGCCTGAGTTACGACTAAACATCGCTACGCACACACTGGCCAAGGCGTCTCCCTATTAAGTTTTCGCTTCGCTTTTATTTCCTCTTGTTTCCGTTATTGCGTCATGCTGTTTGATAATTTTTTTCTGCTTCTTGCCTTTGAATAAATAAATTGCCTTAAATAATGTTTGGAAACCCTTGCCGTCTTCCAATTGATTAGTGAGGACTGTTGCAAAATATAAAATGAGGATCCATAATGACTAGAAAATGCAATTGCGTCTAATTTTAAGATCACGCCCAGGATGCTTGAGATGGCATAGCTTTCTTCTCCTACAAGACAGCCGAGGCACAAAATTATTACATTCGAATGGTTTTAACATTGAACTTTTCAATGAAAAATCAACCAAAATTTTACGAACAATTTTCAAAAGCCGAACTGGTGATCTTTCACATTTTAAAGTCTCGTGAAAGCTAGCTGGAGACATTCAACAACGCTTCTGAATTAAATGCAACATAAATGCTTTAAGGCTTTGTGAATATTAAAGGCATAATGGCAGGAGTAGGTACCCAGTGAAGTTCAGTGAAGTTCAGTGATTTCGAGGGCCGAATCACGAAATAGAAATTGCGGATGAAAAAAATTGTGGGACCATCGAAAGAGCCGCATGTAAAAGAGTGCATGAAAGAAGAAATGCTTCGAATCAAACTGTTTCAGTAATGAATCAATCAAATTGATGTATTGAAATTAGAAGTGCGCGTAAAAAAGTGTTTATTAATGGAGGCACCCATAACTGCTGTAGCAGTAGAGAAGTACGATGTTTTACAAATATCCCTATTCTGATTAATCACATTTGAAATAAGTGAAGTCCAGTTGATCTTGAGAAGTTGTGAAAATCGACGAGGACATTATGAAATTATCGGTCGGTTAGTGACGGTTGGGAAAGATAAGTAAAAATCAAAGCATTTTCAATTATATAAAGCTAGTATCTAAAAAAATTTATACAAATGAAGCAAGATTCTTTTGTTTGTGTGCGCGGTTTTTTCCTCTTTGAAAATTGGAACGTTTAGTATCTAGTGTGGGCAAATTTAAAGAAAAAAATTAATGAAAATTTATTCGGACCATTTTGAACCTTTTAATGATGTAAATAGAAAAATGATCTTCCTCGCGTTTCGTTAAAAATAATAGAAAAATCAGCAATTAACTAATCTCTGCAGGTTCCATTCGCATTCAAGTCGTTTACCTAGAGGAACCCGCACGTAAATTCGATGATTACTCAAAGCATTCGCAAAAATAGAAAATTTTATGGAATATTTCGAGTGAATTTTCCTATATTCTCCGAGATGGAGGTATATTAAGCGGAAGGAAGGAATTTTTAAAAGAAAACAAATTGAAAGAAAGGCAAAGCATTTTAAAGTATTTAAATGAACAACGATTCTGAATTCGATGGTAAAAGTTAGAACTACCTGGATCGCTCGGAATTCTCGCGGGAATAATTCGAGTATATGTTTCTATATTCTCCAAAAATGCAGGTATTTCAAGCGAAAGGAAGGGATTTTTTAACAGAGGAAAAAAACTGAAAAAGGCAAAGCATTTTAAAGTATTTAAATGAACAACGATTCTGAATTTAATGGTAAAAGTTAGAACTACCTAGATCGCTCGGAATTCTCGCGGGAATAATTCGAGTATATGTTTCTATATTCTCCAAAAATGCAGGTATTTCAAGCGAAAGGAAGGGATTTTTCAACAGAGGAAAAAAACTGAAAAAGGCAAAGCATTTTAAAGTATTTAAATGAACAACGATTCTGACTTTAATGGTAAAAGTTAGAACTACCTGGATTGCTCGGAAAGTTCGCGGTTGATGTGGTTGAAATTGAAGGTCGGGAAGCACGTCTCACTTGAGAGGGCGCACTGGAACTACACAGGGTTGAAACACGGTTGTTCTAGCTGGGGCACAGCTAAGCTCTCCACCGCTGCGGTGCATGCGTCCGCAGCCCCCCCCCTCCACCCCCTTCCGTCCATTGGATCATCCCTTTTCTGAAAGAATTCTCCTCAATCTGTCCTCCTATTAAAGTTTCCTCCTGAATTTCTCTAAATCCCGTCCGTTCATTTATTTTACACGCCACGTAGTCTGATTTTTGAAGCAGTTCTGCATACTCCTCACCAGCGTGGGAATAAAAGGGTTTAATTCTTGCGAGGCCGAGGGAAGTAGGGTGCATTCTATAGGAAAAATAGGTCATAAAACATTTAGTTTCATCCGGGACCGAAGCTAGGAAAGCGGNGGGGGGGGGGGGGGGGGGAGGGTGTCGGGTGCCGTCCATACTGATAATTTTTCGCCACACCCCTGGAGTGAAATTTTGGGGTGAGGTCAACGCGATTTCTTTTCTTCCTCTACAAGGAACGGGAGGCAACATCCGAAATTGACATTTTGGGCCTTCTTGGTCCCTCGACTGAATGAGGAAACAAACATTGAAGCAGCTGGCCAGGTTGGCCTAGTGGTCAGCGCGTCTGATTCTAGGTCAATAGGTCTCGGGTTTGAATCCCGGTGGTGGCGACACATTTTTATGGAACTGACGAGTGGATCTGCAGAAACAGATTCCACTCGGCCTTAATCCCTGAAAATTTGAAAGTCTGGAGCACGAATGTGCACTGACCCTCATCCGATGCTCATTCAAGGTTACAGAATCCTCAAATGGATTAAAGACCTCAAATAACTTTAAAAAAAAGAAGAAGAAGAAGAAGAAGAAGAAGAAGAAGAAGAAGAAGAGAAAAAAACACTAAAGCGTCCTTTTGGTGAAACTCCCAAACCACGTATCTCAGTTTGCGACGTTGCATGCTTCCTACCATACTTATAATTTTTTTTTAAAAAAATGGAGAACTGCTCAACGTCAATTCTCAAAAAATTTGGTGTTTTTTTTTCTCTGTGGAAAGCAAATTCTGAGGACTTCAAGAGAAGATGCTGATTTATTTCCCTTTAAAAAATAAAACAGGAGCGCAGATTTTTGAACACCGCAAATGAGAAAAGTGGTTCGGGAATCGCACCATCGATTCGTCTTCTCTTCACTGTGAATTTCATGTAAAATATGGTGAACTGATTGACCTTTTGATGCTCAAACCGTGTTTAATCGACCCGAGGCTTACTGGTGGCACGTGCGTGGCACGGGGTGTGGTGCCTACAAGCTTTAGATGCAGGTCTATAAATACATCCTAAAAAATAATTTTAAAAAAAGAAAAAAATCGAGGATCAAAGCAGTCGAAGATAGGAGAAACGTATTCTGGATTTTTTTTTTAACTTTCCTCCCAAATTTGAGCGAAACTTCAAAGGCAGCCTAGAGCGAAGCAATTCGAGTTTACGCCTCGCGTCATCGCGCCTTCCATTTTGCAGATACAACACGGACATCCATCGAGCACGAATAGTTGTATCTCTGCGCCGTCATCAAAACGGGTCAATTTGACCCGAGTAGACCGTATTCGATAGTGGTTCGATGTATCGTTTGGTTCAAAACTATAGAACATAACCTCAAACAAAACCATTAGGATTTAAGTTGGAAAAGCTGAAAATGAGAAAATTCCTCACTTTTTCACTTTGCATTGGCATTTGGTCCTCAAAAGAATAAAAAATCTATTTCAAAAGACCCGTTCCCTCAGATTTCTGAATTGACTTTTGAGGCTATGTTTATGTTTTGAACCAATCGATATCGATACAATCCCACCCGTTTGATGTATCGAATACGATCTATTGGACTTGGGACTTAGTTTATAAGCAAATACTGGGCATCTAAGGGTTCAAAATCTTCTTTTAAACTTTTAAATCAATCATGAATTGAGAAACCAGTGTTCTTTGTGATCGTCAATAATAATTTAAACTTGCTCGCCAAAAAAACTGAAGTTTACCTGAAAAGAATAGCTGTCATTGTATAAAACATTAACCCATAAATTAGTCAACGTAACATATGATCAAGTTGAAATAAATATTGTGGCCTTTTAATGAACTCAATTTTAATCTGCCACTCAACGAGGTTGTGCTAAATCACACATTTAGATTTCGTCAATTTACAGCATCTTTCAAGACGGGCAAAACTTCCTATCACTCGTATAGTATAATTGATTAAATGAACGATTTACTTGCAAAAAATATATTCATCAATGTTTGTCAAAAAAAATGCATGAACATAAATCGCTTTGCATACCTAAAACGGGTCATATCAAAAATTATTATGACTAAAACTTTCTTCCTGCCGAAAGAATTTACGAAAGACAGTAACTCAGCACGCAGAAAGTAAATTGTCTCAATGAGAATGAAGTACAATTGAAAAGAACCGTATCCATCCTTCTCTGACATCAAATCCGAGTTCGATGACAGTGGTAAGGCGCAATAATACAACTATTCGTGCTTTCCGGAACGCGTGAGGTATCACGCTCCAATTGAAGGCGTTTTCACAACTGCCAAGTTACGATACCGGGATCGTCGTGTCGCAAAGAATTTGGAAACGATATCAATGAAATATTGATCAATTGTACTAGATAATGCGACAGGTAAGCGGACATCTCATTGCCGTAATGTTTCATTTATATAGCTTTTTTCCAGTTGGAAATGAGAGTGTGATGAACCAAATCATCCTGGATTAGTTTAAATTTTTTACAAATAGTTTTACTGTGTTTTCTTGAATTTTATTGTTGATTCAAATTCCTAATATTTTGTTATATTCCTTATCACTTGTGTATTCTTAAACCTCCTATAAAAATTATACATTTACCAAATATAATCCTACACTGGAAAAAAAACACATTGGATCTAGAGTCCAGACTCTTGGAAACATTGACAAGAAAAAGGACTCTTGATTCAAGCAGATTTAAGCTTAAATCAAAAGGAAATCCACTCAAATTACGAGGTTTGGTTCTTGATCTAAGCTTAAATCTGATTGAATCAAGAGTATTTTTACTCGTCGATGATTTCAAGAGTCTGGACTCTAGATCCAATGTGGTTTTTTTCCAGTGTATATCTTGAGCACACTCTTACTATGCGGCCATCAACTGCAAAAATGCCAAAGGAAAACCGTCAAGGCTAGCGAGTAGGCTGCTTCAATTTTAATCTTCCGTCGCATTGGTAAGGCACAAAGATACTGGCGCGTCAGTTAAACCACTCACGAACCGGGGACGAATCACTTTAAGCAGTTGTCCATAATATTTGAGGATTTCCGAGAAAGAGTTATGTTTTTAAATACGCTATTAATCTGGCCTAAACACTACTAAACAGAAAATAAAAATTGCTGGGTCACCATAATCTCTAGGAGAAACGAGACGAAGAAATTTATTAATTTAGAAAACAATTTCATAACTTGAAACTTTCATTAAATGAGGTTAGGCTGATGAAAATGAACGGCATTCATTCCCGATTCATTTTTTCCGCAATAAATACCCAATTTTAAATTTTGCCGACGACAAATTGCGGATTGCATTTTGCAAAAAGGAACCACTAGCATTGCAATGTTGCTAAGATTGTGCAACTTCTTTTGTCTTGGAGGAAAACCCCGATTATCCATCAATAGTTTCTATTTTACTCGCTAAAAACTGTAAATTTAAGACAAAAATTACCATCTTTTCGTAGTTTTTCACGATTTCCGCAATTGTATTGCAAAATATGAAGTTGCACAATCTTAGCATCATTGCAATGCTAGTGGTTCCTTTTTGCAAAATGCAATCCAATTATTACTTGTTTTAACGTCAAAAAGCCGTAATATATCGCACGAGAGCTAAAAATTTTGGCTCCAGTCGATTATCGGAATGGGTAAGCACCGTCCGCCAATCAGAGGTAATCATCTCTTCACACTAAATTTATAGGTTACGTCGCTTAAATTGCAGCTAAACTTCTCTCATTGGACGTTTTTCAGTGTGCTCTATTAAAGTTGGACGTCGAGACTCGGTGCCCAGGTCTGTGGTTGTTATTTTTACCCTACCCGCGCTTTCTGTTGTGGGGTTCGCAACACAGACATCTACAGAGCAGCCGTAATTGCATACATTTAGGCGTCACAGTCAATGTCGTGTCGGCTGAGGAACCGACCAAAACTATTCTCGCAGTTATTTCCGCCCACGTCTTGAATGAACAACAGCATTTCCTCAACTTTTTAAAGTTGATTTTTTTACGTTATTAGAACGTAAAATAATTGAAACGTTTTGAATGAGCTACAGCATTTCTTCTTTTTTTCAACTGCTTCTTTTACGTTATAAGAGGTTATTCACAATCGCGGAAAGGACCAAATGAAGTTATCCCTTGCTATGACTAGACTATGAAAATTAGAATAGTTGAATACTCGTATCTCTCTCTTCCTTTTCATCCTGTCTGTTAATATATTGGGCTTATCCCTACGTTTTTTCTTGTTCTGCTCATTTTTTATTTTTTATTATTCTGGGGTTTCCCATCTGGTTATCCTGCATACTTTTAGGACCCCGATGCGGCATTTTTTCTCAGCGAGGCTCCTGCAAGAACGAGGAATTAGCGATTCAAGCAATAATTAATATCTGTCTTCAGTTTTTGCCAGAGCAGAGGGACCTTATTCAAAACGGATCGAAAATAAAAATAAGCTCAGTAGGAAATCTGTAATTCACAATCTTCAAAAGTAGTCTGCGCCCTCAAACCCTTCCTCAGGTATATGATAGTAAAATTAGTTTTCGGAAAATTTGAACTTTATGAATGATACAGCACGGCAAAAAGTACCTTAAGCTTTAAGAAAACTCAAATTGTTCAGCACAGTGAATTAGTTTAAAATCTCCAATCTTGTATGCGCTTCTTTCATTTATTTCATGCTCCGCTACGAACGTACAATTAGCAGTGGGAAGCGCATACCGCCCGGTTGCAGGCGCTCCAAGCAGTTACGCAGTTAATTAGCTTGCAGATGACCCACATTCTCGTTTCATGCAATCATTAAAACTTAATTTTTTTGGCATGTACGCAATTTTATACGAAATTGCTCCTCATAACCACCCCTCCAACTACCAAAAAACGTATCAAATTTTAACGTATCTTAATGTACCATTAAGCCTCTCTAGATCTCATTCCTTCATTTCAAGGATCACCATACTTTTCGCTAAATGATGATTCATGATTGTGATCTCATACAACATACAACAATCTCATATTTTCGGAAACTTTTACATTATGGGAGAATCTTCGGGTGTCCGTAATACCGTGGTCTCTGGTGATCAACGCACAAATCAAATAGTTTTGAAGTGTTGAGATAATACAATTTGACGAACGGAGTACACTCAGTAAAAATGCGCGTGGTTAGCACGTCCGCGATAACAAATGAAACTCGGGTACCATCAGTGGCGTGGCGTGACTTGCGATATATCGATTGTTATGCCATTTAAACCTATGGTAAAGAATCGATTATTAAGGTGTTCGCTGCGAACACTCCGTTTATCGATCCTTTTCCATAGGTTTAAATGGCGTAACAATCGATATATCGCAATTCACGCCACGCCACTGGGTACCAGGCAGATATTTATTTTTGAAGATACTCCCATTCTGCCGTGTTAGGTAAAAACGCCGTACGTACATTTGACAGTTGCCACACTGAAAAAAAAATCTCGGTGTATTTCCTAAGAAAAGGGTAAAATTACCAAGAATTCAGGGTTCTATTTCATCCAAGTTTTTTCTTGGTAAAATTACCATTTTTGGAATTGGTAATTTTACCGAGAAATCTCGGTAAAATTATTGAAGTTTCTCGGTAATTTTACTGGACCTTGGTAAAAACGCCAATATTTTTGATCGACTTTGGTAGAATTACCGAGATAAAATGGCAAAGTTACCGGGAATTGATTATCAATAAAAGTGGTATTCTTACCTGGAAAAAACAGTAAAAATACCCGTTTATAGGTAAGCTTATCAGCCTGTCTTGGTAAAATCACCAATAATTGGTAAAAAAAGTGAGATGGTAAAGGTACCAACGGACCGTGGTAAAAACGCCGAGAATTTTTTTTTCAGTGCAAAGTTCGTCCAGTTGGATGTTTATTTTTCAGTGGAATTCTTAATATTTTCTCTTGATATGTTCAAATAATTAATGTCTAATCGCGAATAATACGCCGAAAAAGTAAAGGAAAAATATTCACAGATTCCCCAGAAAATTCGCTTTTTAACGGAGGAAATTCGGCAACGTCTGGTGGTTTCTACGACGTTCTTCCTTAGCACGGCAGTATTAACCATTCGACGGTGAAACTACCAAACCACGTATCTCGTTTGCGGTGTTTAAAAATTTACGCTCGCATTTTATTTTTTTGAAGTAGACCAAATCAATATCATTCCTTGAAATTTTCACAGAATTTTCTTCGCACGAAGAGGAAAAATCACAGAAATTTTCAAGACTGGACGTTAAGTAGTTTTTCATTTAAAAAATGAAGTATGACTGGAAGTCTGCGACGTCGCAAACCGAGATACGTGGTTTGGTAGTTTCACCGTCGAATATTCTCCGTCCCTCATCGTTGTGAGCAAGGGTGTTTAAAGGAAATCGCATTGCATCACATCGGGTTCGGATGATTATGGGTCGGATTTCTTAGAGGGGAAAACATACATGTCACATTAGGATTGAGCAATAGCATCGTTGCATGAGAATGTTCGTGGAACGCGACTTCAACTGTTTTCTTTGCAATTCCCTCAATTATCATACGAAGCCGCGGCGAGGGGCCCCGCTCCCCCCTTCCCCCTCCATTGTATGCTTCATTTTCGCATGGCCATTATTCTCAACGCTTCCATGCATGTTTTCAATTTCCTTGTCAGCTCTGTTTTCACACGCTTTGCACCTCTTTACCGCAGACTTATTTTAACCCAATTTTTTTCCACTGCAGCTGTGGAAATATTTCTCCGTCGGGCGCCGGTTGCCTCACCTCTCGGTTTCTGTGCAGGCCGAGTATTTTGCCATGCTAAGAAGGAACGCCGTATGAGCCTTCAGACGTTGCCAAGTTTCCTCCGATAAAAACCAAAATTACTGGGAAATTTGTGAATATTATTTCCTGAAATTTTCAGAAAATTTTTTACGCGATTTAATCTAAAATATCTGAAAATTTCAAGGCAAAATATGCATGAATGTTGTCAAAAATACATGCTTTATTAAGGGAAATCTGGCAACTCGCGAATTTTCATACGGCCTCCTTCCTTAGCACGGCTGTATTTGAAGGATCTTTTTCCCGGAAACATAACTTACATGTGTTTATTCGCACAACATTGAGGAAGTTGAAAATGAAGGGTCACTCATAAATATCATGAAGTTTTTTCCCCTCGACTTTTAACCCACCCCCTTTTCCTTTTAGACTGAATCTAGGTGATTCAGGTACGAACCCTCCTTCTACGGTGCGCTGTTGCACAGCGAGTATCTTTATGAGGCAATAATAATATACCGTAATTGACAAATAATTTATTGTTCGGGTCTTAACCTAACGTGTGAAGTGGCTTTACTCGGTGCGCCGGTCAGAATGAAAAACATATTAGCGCCTACAAGACCTCATGAATACTTCAAGAGTTGCGTCAAACACAGTGCGGTCAGTAGCAGTTGACGTCAAACGCATAGCGCCTACCAACGCGCCTACAAGACTGCGTGAATACTTCACGCATTGCGTCAAACACAGTGCGGTCAGCGGTCGGCGCGGCGTGAAACGCATAGCGTCTACAAGACTGTAGGGATACCTACTTCACGCATTGCGCCAAACACAGTGCAGTTGGCGCAACGGCAGAAATTACACCACCTTCATGTTAATGCTTTCATAATTTTTTCGTTCATCTCTTATAAATGAAAGGCTTTGTCCACACAGAGATAGGTTTCCGGAACTGAACTTTTACTAGTGTTGACAGGGCTTTCAAAAAAAATGTGCCCAGCACGAGTAACCGCGTCTTATGCACCCCTCCTCCTTCGGCACATTCACTTGATGGTTGTTTATGATGCTTCAAAACGAATGAGGAGGGGGCGGCAAAATACAGGCGGCCCACGGGCGGCAAGTAGGTAAATCCGGGCCTAAATATTTCATCAGTACTTCTTTCACATACTTTAAAAGGGAATATCTACGGTGAAACTTCCAGACCGCGTATCTCGGTTTGCAACCTTGTAGACTTCCTGTCATACTTTGGAAAACCACTCAACGTCAATCCTCTAAAACTTCGGTGTATTTTCTTCGATGTGCGAAAAAAACTCTGTGAAAATTTCAAGAAAAGAAGATGAGTTGTTCCGCTTAAAAAAAAAAAAANAAAAAAAAAAAAAAAAAAAAAAAAAAAAAAAAAAAAAAAAAAAAAAGAAGAAGAATAGTTGCGAATAAAATACGGACATTAGCGGATGCAGCAAATTGGCAACATCGTTTTTTCCCTCATTTAAACCTACCGTAACGTATCGATTCTTGAAAGGGCCGGGTGCTCCGACAGGAATCGATTATTTAACATAGGTTTAGATGGAGGAAATCCAGTGTTGCCAAATTGCTGGATCCGCCTGAGAATACGGAAGAAGTCGAACTTTTCCAGCTTCGCTGTTTTCTTACGGGGATGGAGATGAATCAGACCACATTATACAGTTAGGAACTACAACTTTTGGGTCAGTTTAAACACAACGCTCGTACCAATACCCCCCGTAAACACATAAGTGTTTTTCGGTCGAGCCAAAAATTTTAGTTCCTGATTGCAAAATGAAGTCCAATCACAATAGCTACTGCCAATCTATATTAGGTATACAGCTTACCTTGATAATGATACTAACGCCTCTTGATGGATGCCCGTGATGCGTAAGAGGAAAATGAAGGCGCTTTGGATCGTCGCACAGTGGATCGATTCAATCAGAGAGGTCAGACATGATATTTTTGACTAAAACCGCAAATTTTGATGTTGAATTCGTCGATATGAACTTAAAAAGAAAAACGCTGAAATCACTGAACTGTCACGAATTATAAATGGACTGCGTTCAGCAGAAAGGAAGCAGGCCACATCAACTATCGCCAAATGTAACTTGGCAATTTAATATTTCACCAAAGAACGTTGGTGCGGATGCCTTGGAAAATGTATTAGGAATTTGCTTCCCACTTAGCAGAAAATTCACTGGAATTTGCACATAAACCTGCACAACCGTGTCCATGTAAGAAATTAAATTGCCCATAAAATTTGGCAATAACTGAGGTGACTTGGTTCCTTTTTGCTTAACGCGGTCCAATAGAACCTTTGATGAACCTTTGAATAAAACGCCCGAGTTGCGTCAACAAAAATAAACAAAACAGATTTAGTTCAGCTCTGTGCCGACAGAGCACGCGCACACATAATAGCGGCGTTTGAATTTGAGAGGTTATGATTGCTGTTTGTTTTTGGTTTGTGGGTTTCACTCGCATTTCGAAACTGCTTTTAATTAGATATTCTCGTTTTTCGTGAAAAACCACTGTGCCGCTGCAAGTGTCATTGTCTTATTCAGTGAATTTGGTTAAACGAGCTGTTTTAGTCCTGCAATTCCATTATTTCTGTTACTGCTATACTCATGTGGTTTTCACTGTAGAATAGCCATCGCATGACTGCGTCTGTTTTTTGTTTACAAATTATGGTTTGCATCACTAACTAGACCGCTAGACCGTCGCAGTAAGCTTTTTCTCTTTTAACTTAACTTAGAATTCCACTTAAATTATGTCAATTGTCGGAAGAGACCTTACATTCAAAGCTGAGAAACACATAAGATACCTCCTCAGATTTTTGGAGGTATGGCCGCATCATCTAGAACAACAAGATAGCTTGAGGTGAGTTCTGATACTGAATATCTGAATATCCAATTTAAAATGTCTTCCTGATTTATGCCAGAAGTCAAATATCCTTTGGACGGCAACCTCAAATTGCATCGTCCACAGTTCAACAGCCGGCTGATATTGAAGTCATGTGTTAGTCCGGTAGACAAGACTAGTCTAAAATGGAATGGATGAATGGCTGTGTCAATGAGATGACTGAAGTGATAGGCTCCTTTTTAGGTCAAATTATTAACTGGTTTTTTGCCAGGAAGAAGATGCTTTTAGCTAGTTGCTTTCTAGACCCATTGTAGGGCCTACCGTCCTGGTGCCGATTGCCTCATTGACACAGCATTCCTATCTAGTAGCTTCATTCCATCTTAGTGTAGTCTTGTCTACCATACAAATACATTATTTCAGTTACTGGCCTGTAGTTGCGATACTTATGTAGATTATGAGACATTAGCATGCGTTTCGCATTACCGTTTAGTTTTGTTGAAAGACGCTCTGTTCAATGACATTGCCCGGCAGAGCTTGCAACCTACTATCTGGATTATACCTGCCTTGTACGTGATGTTCTGGAGCAACTTGTGAGTTGCCACCTTTGTGCCTGTAAGTCCGTATTGGGTCTTTAGTAGAAGCGCCCCACCACGGCAATATTGTCGATCAACTTTCGAGACACCCGGTGGACGCTTCAGGTGGACGGCTGGTTGAGTGCGGTTGCAAAACGGGTAAACAAACTGCAGCCGGAAAATGATGGGTGGGGAGGGAGGAAGAATGTGTGAGGTCGGTGGTGTGATGTTCGGTCAAAGTTCAGAGCGGCGGAGTCTATTCAGTAACTGCCCGTCACACTTGCGTTAGTTCTGATTTCATTGTGCGTGCGTCATGTTTCGTTTGTGTCAAGAGGTGAATTCCGAGGAGGAGGCTGTTCGTTATTTACAAAAGCGGAATCTATTACATAATTCTCGGTTTTGTGAAAATGGTCATTCGATGAGTTTGTCATTTTTTTTTCCATTGCAATGACTAGGTGAGTTTCATTTTTTCTTTTCCGTTTTCTTATTGTTGTTTATTTTCATTTTGTATTTTTCGTGTTTTTCTTGTTAGGGTAGGTTAGGTTAGGTTAGGTTAGGTTAGGTTTGGTTAGGTTACTTTATTTTGGTTCGTTGGCTTGATTGTTGATTTTAGGGGTTTTGGCAGCACGGCAATAGGGTTCGTAAATCGCGAGAGGGAGTGTGGAGGGGAGGGGGTCGGACCGGAGCGTCCACTGGGTGTCTCGGAAGTTGATTGACAATTTTGCCATGGTGGGGCTCTTCTACTAAAGCCCCTATGTATTGACTCTCCCACTGTGCCATCCTTCCGATGAAAAGACCACTCCTGCGGTCTGGTTATTTAGATTATGTCAGCAAGACAAGACATAGTCTTATCTTAATCATGAATTATATCGTATGTTGATGTCCCATCATGCTGCTATAAACTTTCAATAATCGTCTTGCAGTTGAGCGTAGAAAATACTCAAAATAACTTCTTACAAAAATATTTACAAAGACTCATGGCTCCATCACACTTTGGGTGCAATCAAACTTTTAGGTGGGGCTTTAAAAAAATTCAATTACTGCAAAATAAAAAATTCCAACCAAAATAGCCCTCAAAGCCCTGTTTGTGCTAAATATCCCAGTCCCCTTATACCCAGTCTTAGATGATCAAACTTAGGTCACCTGGCCGGGCGTTGAACCCGAGACTTCTTAATCCTAGCGCCAGCTCCATAAGCACCACACCGCAGGTGAGGTGGACAAATTGACACATTTTTTTTATTTGTCTCTCTGTTTACCAATTTTTAAGTGCTGTATGTATGAATCAGGACTTAAATATTATTAATTTAATGTAATTGGTCTATTTATTATCATTGAAGTACTGCGATTATGAGCCATCAAATAATGCATAAACCTATTTAGTGTGGATTTTAATATCATTAGGTATTATCTGATGAGTTGTCAATTTTTTATTTTGTTGCCACATCAATAAAGTATCCACTTGACTGGTCCTGAATCTTTCTTTCTATGTTACTGATTCCTTTTTGTCTGTTTTAGATTAACGGTGGTATACTTCGCTGTTTCTGGACTTGATATGCTAAACGCCCTTGATCAAATCGATGCTGCAAGGAAGAAGGAAATCATTGATTGGGTCTATGCCCTTCAAGTTGAACCGTCCATGAATGGTTTGTCATTTTTCCTCCAGAAGTTCGAAGTAGGGCCATAATTTAATATGGACATTATTAGTGCTACATCACAGTTTGAAAGTGACCCATCCTGATTTAGTCTAATAGTAGCATCGAAGAAGGTTATGCCATTAATATCGTCTGAATTGAATTTAACATAATGACTCCAAAGGAGGCATTCTGTTGAGTTGTCATGACCAATATTGTCTCCATAGGCTGTAGATAACAAGTCTGGGTTTAACGAGTTAGTTGTTGCTTTTTGCTCAAAGCTTCAAAGTTTGGGATCTGTTTAGCATGTGTGCAGAGTCTTCCAAGCCTCCATATGTTTTTGCACCAGCCCGCCGAATTTCCACAAAATTTCCCATTAACCTGTTTTTAAAAGACCTTTTCTCATTTTCATGCGCATGGTCTGTTGGGGTGTGTGACTGAGCATTTTCTGCACTCCTGCTGTCCAGTTTTAAATCTGTGCCCCAAAGTTGTTCTTATCATACCCTCTTTTAAATTTAATTTATCAAGCAAAGCGAGATGCATAATTTTCCTCTGTCCAGTTTAATTGAGTAGTTAACACTCATGATGACAACTCGCCAAGTTGCTGAAAATCTGACAAGGTTTTAGTGACTCATGGACTGTGTGTGGTATGCCTTTATTTCAACTAAGTAGAGGGTGGTGTCAGAATTTTTAAGCTTCAAATGCATTTTGATTGAAGCTTTCTTTCCTACATGCTTTGAAACTTCCCTTTTAACCGCAAGAATTGCTTGGAAGCTATTGGTACAAGCTTTTCCATTTCAACAGAAACACTTTGAAGCTACTAGTGCAAGTATCTCCATTTCAACTAACTACCGGCTTATTGAAGGGTATGAATAATTTTTGCTCTCTAAATTTGGGAAAGTCTTGAGAAAAGGCTTTTGAATTTTGTTATCCTGAAAATTTGATGAATTTGCTATAAGCGGAAAAAAATGCTCAAAAATTCATGAAAATGTTCTATCTGATGTAAAAAAGTTGAGGCTTTCCAAATCTTTCCTATCTTTACCAATGATGCTTAAGTTGACCTTATCTGTGTTCATTATACGGAGAGAAGAATAAATATGATTTCCTCTTTCCACATCCTCTATAGTTTGTCATGGTTTGTTCGGTTGAGAACTGAGATGGTAGCACCTACCTATCCTGAGAATATTTAATGAAGTTTTTCCTGCACCAAGGTCAAAGTTTACAAAAAATCATCATTGAAGGTTTGATTGTGATTCATCCTTTTTCTTCCATTTTTACTCTACAGATGGAGACATCAATTTATGCGGGTTTCAAAATGCACCTACTCTAAATATACAAGATACAGATGCACAAAATGCTGGACCTCTTCTCAAGAAATATCGATGTGCAAATGTTGCAATGGATTACTCAGCTCTAGCAATATTAGTTATTCTTGGCGATGATCTCTCAAGAGTTAACAAAAAAGCAGTTTTGGAGGGAGTGAAAGCCATGCAGCAAGATAACGGATGGTATGAATTTTTCTGTATCATAAATTTTCTATACATTTCCTTCATTTATTAATAATTATAGTTTTAAAATGCTCTTTTTTCATCAGCCCCTAATAAAATGTTTGACTCAATATTAATTTCCTCGAGAGCCTCTTGAGTTCAGCCACTGTTACTTATGCTCTTGGGCTAGCAAAAATGTGCAGCTTTCAAGTTTTGAATGTGACAACCTGCTCTTATCATTTTGGCTTGAGCTGTATCATACAATTCACGAGTTACAAAATAAACGGGGAGCACCTTAGGAATTCATCCCCTTATTTCAAAAATTTGCCATTTGCGGCCACAGCCCCAAGTTCCTCCCTTCATACCCGGCTCTGTTTGCGAGGCCATCGAACGCTTAAGTCCCTTTAGGAATTACTGATTCTCAGTAAAAGTTAATAGGCTTTTTTTGGCCATCCCAAGAATATTGTATTACTAAATTATAGGCATAATGGCTTACGCACCAACTTTGTCTGGACGACCCATGTGTGTCACTGCAATTCTACCGTGCTAAGGAAAAGCGTTATATGAGTCTTCAGATGTTTGCTAAATTCTCATTGTTAAACAACAAATGTTTAGGGAAACATCTAGATATTTTCAAAGAATTTTATTTCTTATTTAATCTACGGTAGGTATCTGAAAATAACAAGGAAAAATGTTTTTATCTTTCCTCAAAAATGAATATTTCAGTAAGGGAAATTTGGCAACACTTAGATGTTCATACAAATTTTTTCTGTAGCACAGTAGAACTGTGCATGATGGGCCCCTTATAAGCAAATGCGTCTTTATCTAGTCCTTCATTTTATGAATTTGACCCAAAATTGCAAACTCCTATCACACACATGCTCTGTTTGATGGACTTCTTCATTTATATTTAGCTATGAATGTAATTGATCAATTGCAGCTTTGCGTCGTGTGCCGTTGAAGGAGAATGTGACATGAGGTTCGTGTTCTGCGCTGTTGCTGTCTGTTATATTTTGAACGACTGGTCTGTGATAAACGTTGAAAAAATAGTCAATTATATTCGCGATAGTTTGGTAAGCATAAGAGCTGTTTCGTAATATGCTAACATAGAAGGGTATACTTATTTAATTGAAACTAATTCTGCAATCACTGATCTTATTTCTTGGAAATCTGTATAGTTCACCATTTTCTAAGAATTTATAACTTCTTTGGTGCAGGTGTTTTCTCGGGAGCTAGGTTTTTGTCCATGTAGGATAATATGCCGAAAATTTTCAGCTTATTTAATCACCAGATTGTTCCAAAAATTTCTCAATACTGTCATTCAATTTTTGAAAGGATTATTTCATGCCTTGTTGAACAGTTGGAGATGCCCAAAGGTCTAGAAAGTCAGGGACTGTGTACAGCAACCTGGAAAAGTAGGAAAATGTTTGTCTTGAAGTATGTAGATTTACATGAACACCCTCACTGAAAACTCACAATCTATAACTAAAAGAGGTACTGAGATTACACATTCTTGAATTACATAAAAAATAATCTTTAGGAAAATGTTTCATGAAGACTATTGAGGCAGTCTTCTCATGAGATGATGCAGTTAGTATTTCTCAAGTCTACTTTAACTCGAAGCTGCTCCGGCTTGTGTTGAAAATACTTTTGCGTGTTGCATTGGAAATGATTAGAAGACATTATCCCAAGCATACAAGTATTTGCTTAATTTTTCAGAGTTATGAATATGGAATTGGCCAAGGTCCTGGTCAAGAAGCTCATGGTGGATCTACCTATTGTGCTGTAGCCTCTTTAGCACTACTGGACAAAGTGCACGAATGTTTCTCTCCTAAAGAGGTACCTATTCCATTATTCTAAGGACTGTCAGCGACTTAGATCTATGACCTAGATCCTGTTCCACAGTGCTCAGTTTCTTCAGCTAAGATTAGACTGAACAAAAAATTCTAACGTGAAAGAACAGATACATTCTTTCAAATGAGGGAATACAACATAGAAGGCAATTTTGGACTTAGGACAAAACTAATTCTTCAGTTTTCAAAGTGTTCCCTCACTAAATCTATAGATTTGTCTTACATGATGAATGTTGTGAAGCATACTCTCTATTTTCAATCTTCATACTTTGTTTTATTCAGATATTGATTACATCATACACATTAAAAGAAAATTCCTAGATTTGACCAAAGTATTACCTGTACTTTTTTCCATAGAGCAAACATTTTCAGTCGACATTGATACATTTTGATCGTAGTCGAACGAGGACCTGAAAGTTGCATCTTTTGTGACGGATTAGTATGTTGCGCACGTTTTCCATTAATGATGCAGCTTTTACAGACGACTCATCAAAATGGCTTTATGTGCTATGACCAGGATTGCTTTTCTATCTATAGAGGATAAATTGAAGCATTTTTAAGTTCTGACATGATTTTAATGTAATTGTATTGGTTCCAATTTTAGTCCTATGTATTCTTTCTCTTTTCAATTTTAGAATTAAAATTAAAAGTCTCAAGTTATTTGAAGCTATCCTTTAACAGCTTAACTTACATTTTTCACCGACTTATCCCTCCTTTTAAATTTGTTACAGATTAGTATGTTGACTCGGTGGTGCCTTTTCCGGCAAGAATGCGGGTTTCATGGACGACCCAACAAGCCAGATGACACGTGTTACTCATTTTGGGTTGGTGCGTCACTAAAAGTAAGTCACTGAACTCCTCTGATTTTTCCTCTTTGAGGCAATTGAAATTACTCTGAACCCATATCATTAACTTACTGATTGTTCATTAAAAGGTGTAAAAGTTGTATTTTATTATATTGTAGTTACAGTAATGGTCAGAATACTCAGTATTCTACTCAACTCTATGTTCAACAAAGGATTCTGACTCGACAGTTATCCTCTAAATGCTTCAAGACGGACACCTTAAATGTCCTCGAACAGAATGAAATTTTGCCAGAAAGCACTGCACCAATTATCAAAGATTTACTGTTTACTCGCTTCTCACGGAGAATGTCAGGAAAAGTGTTTTTGCGACTCCACTGTGAGATTTTTTGGGTCAGTAGAGGTATTGACTTCTGATGTCCTGTTTTAAATCGAACATATCCTATGAGTTTCTATATGGAATTATAAGGGAATATTTTACTTTCATAAAAAACTGGAGAGAATGAAATGTTGAATAATCAAATAGTTGTGTAACTGTTCCCCCAAAAAATATAGCCTCACCTAATAGTGTAACTTTTTTTTTTGAAGATTCTAAAAAGTAGTTTCTAAAATATGTTGTTTCTTTTTTCTTTATCGAGTTGTATCATGGCACTCACATTTCCTTTTTCGCCCGACGTGAATTTTTTGGCTGTCAACTTAACACACTATGGCCATTTCGGCTGTATCAACCATCATCAGATGAATTATAAAAAATTTATAACGAAAATAAGAATGAACGGAAGTTTTGCGCCGCGCCAATGGAGATAGTGCACTGTTTTAGCTTCCGTTCACAAGTTTTGTAATTCACCTGATGATGGTTAATACAGCCAAAATGGCCACAGTGTGTTAAGTTGACAATCGAAAAATTCACATTGGGCGAAAAAGGAAATGTGAGTACCTAGTTTCTAAAATATGTGGTCTCTAGTGTGAATTACTAAAAGCTCTTGAATATTGATGTGGAGATTAGTAAACTCAAATATTTGACTGTAGGATTTTAAGATTTTTGCTCCTACTTAATTTTTAAAAAGAAACAATGAGAAGAAAAAACCAAAAGAAATCGGACTACCTTTTTCTAATAGAAGTCTCAGACGGCCAAAGAAAAATCTTGCAATATTCTAGGAATTAGTGATGGTTAGTCGTTTCTCATCCATATGAAGAGGAACTAAGAATTTGTAATATCATTAACCTAAGATGAATGGTTCTCTAGATCTAGATCCACCATGTATATTTTTTTTATAGGTTACACTTTTATCCACTGAATCATCCTGGTGGATTTGTAGCAGTAAGGTTTTCTCTCTATCAGTCTTACTGTTTTTTCAAAAGAGCCACTCTTGTGTTTTTTTAATTTTCTTTTATCCTAGATATGAGCATTTTCATAATTTTCTCACTTACTTCTTTTTCGTACCTCAGATTTTAGGGGCTTTTGATCTCATGAATGTTGAAGAAAATAGAAATTTTATCTTAAGCACTCAAGATTTAGTTGTAGGCGGGTTTTCAAAATGGATGGACTCTGGACCAGACCCTCTACATTCTTGCTTAGGTAAACATATAACTCACGCCCTAGATTCTAAATCCTTCAATTTTAACTATGCAGCGTTTCTACAGGTTTGGAGAACCAGGAATGGGCCTGTTGCAAACTTTTGCCAGAGCAAAACTAAGTGTTGTTACTCATAGAAAGTGTCTCAAAAATAATGATGAGTGCATCAGCAAAGTCTGAAATGCACTCCTTACTTCACAATTTGTGTAAGTAATTTGCGTTTTTTCGAATTTCCCACTTCAAAAACGATACCACGGCACAGGTAAACATTTCGTTAGAGGAGTTATTCCATCTAACCCCTGCTCACAAGGATACTACACAATATTCAACATAGCCGACGCCAATCCGCCAAAACTCATGTGACGGGACGATGATTCTAACCACCTGACAACAATCGGCAAGTTTACATTCACATTTTTCTCGTGTTGTTAGATATCCGCCTTGATTGACCTCATGCTCTCCTCAACTTGCGTCGGACATGTTGAGCAGGAATTGAATGGAACGACTCCTCTAATGAAATGTTCACCTGTGCTGTAGTATACTTTTTGAAGCAGGGAGCTCGAAAAAATGCAAATTTCTAATGCAAATTGTGAAGTTAGAATGCATCTCAGAGTTTCCCGATGCGCTCATCATGATTTTTGAGACATTAACTGTAAGGAACAACTCTTATGTTTGCTCTAGCAAAAGTTTGCAACAGGCCCATTGTCAGGAAATCCCCTCTGATCAGGGAAATTGGGGGAAAGCTTTGGAAGTTTATGAGCAAAGATTGGAAATTTGAAACATCTATAAGCTTGAAATTCAAAAAGAGAAGCATTAATGCTGCCCAACCAATCTATTACTATCTAAGTTTGGTTCAGGATTCAGTGCTCTAAGTTATGCACTAAATAGTGAATAGAGGAATTGAATCGGGACATGCAAAAACCGCTATTGTCTATTCTTCCAGTCTTAAGTCTTTTTGAGTTCATAATACTTTTAGAGAGTTCATACAACTATAAAAGTGATGGAAGGACTTGTTTTGGGATGAAGGAAACCTGAAAACGAGTTTTAACGCCACTTTAGTGGTTGCAGCCAACTCCAAAAAGTATTAAGAACTCAAAAAACTTAAGACTGGAAAAATGAACATTAGCGGTTTTTGCACGTCCCGACTTAATTATTAATCCTAAGGAAAATCCTTTAAAAGTTATTTTCATCAGGGAATTGCAATTTTAGCCTATTAAATTGTTAAAACCCTGGAAAAAAAGAGCACATGCATCTTTCATTTGGCGTGAGGTTAATGCATGAAAGACTCATTCATTTTTAGTCCTGCAAATTGTCCCCGTGAAAAGACGGATCATTTTGATCAGAGGAAATCTCGAAAAATCAGAGAATATTTTCCACCAAGTCTGGAGACACTGTGATATGAGATTAATATGAGAGTAAAAGAAATAATGACTCAATAAATAAAAAAAAAGTGTTAGGTATATTTGCTCTACCAGGAGGGTTTTGGATCTGTGGGGTTTTTTTTTGGAGCTTTTTAACGAGACTGATGGACGTTTTGCTAAAAAAAAAAAAAAAAAAAAAAAAAAAAAAAAACAGTTCTTTCTAGGTGATTCAATTTTTCATGTCATCAGCTATTATAATTATTTAATTCAATTCTTATGAGGGAATTCCACCACTATGCCTTCAAAATCGATTGATCAGAAGCCAAATTGTTGCACATCAACTAATCATTTTGTCAAACGATTTGGGGAGGCATGACTAAGGTCCATTACATAAGTAAGGTCCCCCTGTCAGCAAAATTAACTTTAATAGTCTTGAAATCAAAATTGTTGTCTCTGTAACTTCAAAGCCATTTAAGGACCTTTTCTTTTCCACATCCTCAAATTACCCTCTTTTTCAGGTTTATGCAGTCTCAGTTTAATGAAAGTCGAGCGTCTTCTAGAAATTCATCCTGCTTTGAACGTCACTCAAAGGGCACATAACCATTTACAAAAACTTCATGCTAGCGGGAGGAGTTGACAGTAATATCTCTGTAAGTTAGGAATCATACTTTCATTTTTATTTTCCTGTAATTCGGCTCTATTTTGACAGTGTTTTTTTCTCCCTAAATAATTGAATGGTAATTTTTGTAGACTTCCTCGATGTCATCATTAATCAAAACCACTAATTTAATATTATTCATTTTTTTAGAAATTTTTTCTTCTACCTTTTTGGCTCACTGTTTCTGCGAGTATTGATTTTAATAATTAATTTTGTGTCAAGCTTAAGAATCGCTGCTCAGTATCTCTCAGGGACTTTTGATACCTCTCAAAACTGGCCTGTTTTTTCTGTTTTACTCTTTTCCATAATTCCCTTGTTACTCCTTATAATTATCTCACTTACAAACAATACTTTTGCCCGCCTTATTTTTATTAAATTTTCAATAGCAAATTAAACGTTTCAAGCCACTAAACACTCTAGAGATGTGACTACCATAAATTGTATCAGAATCCACGTTGGTATTGCTGAAATTGAACAACCCTTGAGTGCTATTTGAGAAGGTTTTAGTAGGTATGTAATAGACTACAAATTTTTTACTCATTTTTCAGTTGCTGTTGTAATTTTTTAAAGTGAGCCATTGCATCTGAGAATGTTTCAATTTTTCTTTAAACTTGCTAATGAGAGAAAAGTGCAAAACTAGAAAATCTTTTCTGCATCATGCAAACCTCATAGCGATAGTAATTACTTATCTCTTAGAGAACGTTTTCCCGCAAACAGGTCTTCACTGCGCAGAGAAACTGCTATCGAATAGCTTCTTCTATATTCTCAAAAAAGAGAGTACTCAATGTTCTTGTTAAAAAATGGAGGATCTTCCAAGTTATATGTAATATATTCTTTTAGAGGTTGTTATTACCAATCACTCTGACTGTATGTACCTGTTAGTCCAGTCAATATAGGATTTATGATTAAAAGTTTTAGGCTTAATCAGGTTAGGTAATTGTGATTCTCAGGTAAAATTGGTCGCAGAATCCGAAGTTCTGGTTTCCTGAAAGATTTTCTGTGCATTAACTCAGGATACTCAGAAAACAATGGATAATTGCGCTTTTCCGTGATTTTTTCAAAGCATCTCTATTCTAGTGCAAGATATTGCCAAAATAGTTTCAATATTTATGATAATAACATTTCCTTAAAAGTGATGCTTAAAAATTTTATTTTAGGCCCAAAAGAACCAGCGCCATAGCAAGGAGAAGCTCAAGAAAAGCGGAAAATTGCGCTTTTCCATCGTTTTTTCGACTTAGCTTCATCCCCATAAAAGACATTCAAGAAGCAATTATTTTCAAATTTAAAGCTCACAAATTTTTACACTAAATTATTGCTCAAAATTATATCATAGGTCTAATATCAGTGGTATTAGAGTGGTGGAAAGCTCAGAAAATGTCCAGCAAATCGCACTCTCCCCCCCTATTTTGGAATATCCTTTTTCTAGTGCAATGTATCATAAAAGTAGTTGTTTTCAAAATTGAAGTTGGTAAAATTCTACCTTTGAATGATACCTAAAATCATACCATAGGTTTAATGGTACCGGCACTAGAATGGTGGAAAGATGTGTTAAGCTCTGTATTAATCTTAAAAATTGCATTTTAGAAAATAATAGAAGCAGATCAAATCAAAAGAATCAAATAAATGATTTATTCAATCAACAATTTTATCAAAGCCCTTCCGATCATCAGCCAAATAAATTAACAATGGTTTACACCAAATATTCGAATCTGGTCGTTAAAATTTAATCAATTGACACAGTAAAGGACTTAAATCAACAATGAACAGATGTGTTGGTTTTTCCCAAAGTAGTGCAGTTTTGCCAAAGGTGTATGTTCAGAATAATCACAACATTTGTTTTAAAAAAATTCAGTTTATTGTATTTATATTAATTTTTTCACTTTTTGATTTTTTTTTGTTTCCTCTAATTTTTTCAAACATGTCTTACCAAGATTTCTGGAGATTTCAATTAGATTTTAAGTTTTTCCAAGAGATTTTTTTTACTTTCAGTATGCTGTTCTTATATTTTTGAACATTGATTGGTGGGTCTTTTGTCTCTCAATGTCTAGTGGTCCTCTAACCAATTGCTGCATTTCCATAATTTATCAAGCTGACTGCACCATGACCCTTAAAAAGTTAAATTTTGTAATAGAGTAAGCCAAAAAGATGTAAGATTTGATAGTGTGACTAAAAATAAAATGTGTGTAGGTGAGGAGGGACAATGTTAGAGTAGACAGAAATGTGTCTTTATCACAGAGTATCGGCTTGAGTTTATCGTCTTTCACACTTTATCAGAAAGGTTTACGCTTTTCACGCTAAGTTTAATAGTCTTCAAAGTGAAGAATGTAACTGTATCTGCAAGCTTAAATATCTTTTTTTAAAGTATGTATCTTTAAATTATCTCTGGAGTCTCTTCTATATCAATTTCAATATAACGGGTAAATTCATGTCTGCATTTTTTATGCTATGCTATTCGACTAGTTCACTGGCAAAAGCAGTGACAATATATGCGCTAAATACTGCTTCTGACATTGTATGATTTATCCTTAACATTTATTACTCTTTGATATGTAAGAATGCTTCGTTGTGCTCTCTCTCATCTCATATATTTCTCATCAAGAAGTTGCCATGCAAGATGAAAAATAAAATTATGCACAGCAATTTGCGGAAAGCAGCTGTTTCATGACGAATTAAATTCTTTTAAAATTGAGTCAAGTAAATTCTCAACAACATGTTGATTTATTAATAAGGAGCAATGACAAAAAAGTGCCTTTTGCACCATTCATTTTTTTGGAAAATGTTACCTCATTTTTTTACAAGGGGGTAATTAAAAAACATTCATTACGCTGCCTCTCTGTTCAAGACAGCAGTAGAAATTTTCTGGAAGCACAGTGGAGGAAGGTCAAATAGAATTTGCAGATTCTGATTACCTCCAAGTTTTTGTCTATTCTTTTCTATTCTTGTTGCCCTCATTTGATGAAGTAACAAAAAAAGAAGCTCAGAGGGTTTGTATCTCTTATCGACAGTGAAACTAAAAATCTCTGGTGTAGTGTCACATTATTTTTTTGGATTGCACTTATTTTTCTGTATATATTTGCATTCAGACATAAAAGTTTTTTATACAGAGAAGGTACATACATCACTTTTTTGATTTGCCTTGATAAAAAAAATTCTCATTATTTTGGGACAGGGTTGCCTTCAGACTTTCTTGCGCTATCTCAGCAAGGTATCTTTCTGAGAGTAGAAGTGAAAGTCTGGAGACTGTCCTGTGCTGCTGATAGAACCAATGGAAAGAGCACATACTTATCTTCCTGATTTAATGATACTCCTGTTGCTCCATACATCATCTCTTACCAAGGAAATCTTGTGCTCGAATGAACTTTTTCTCTCTATCATAAAAATATTTTGTGTAATATTTTAAAGAAAATTAATCGGTATTAATTTTATGAAATTTATATTATTTTAGGTATGCGATGAGAAATCACAGAAAAAATCACAAATTAAAGACCGTTGAATTTTTATCGCAAATCAAATGAGATAAGAAATTGTAACGTCACTAACTGATATGCAGGGTTTCCAAGTTTCACTGCCGATATAATCATCGAAAAACCGGGAGAAAGATATCGGGGTCCTAGCCTGTTAATATGTGAAGCTGGACAATTACGCAACAAGTTCAGAAAGGAAGGATGTTTTAGACAAGCCTGGTCTTAATTGTTAGATGTTCATCAATACGAGTCATCTTTAAATGTAAAGCCATTAAACTAAATCTTATCCTTACGATTTTGTTAATGCCTGAACAAGGCTCAATTCAAATGTTGACTCCAAAATATCACAGCTTAAATTTAGGGATGCAGAAAGTTCTAAATTTTGCAGCACTAATCTGTTGAGAAAGTAGTGGTTGGAGCTGTTGCTGATCAGAAAATATATGAATGTCACCGTATGTGCTCAGTAGGAAGAGTTCGTTTTTTCTATTTTCACCAAATTTTTGTTCTAAAATAGTGTTCTTAAGCTAGAATAATTACTGCAAAACTCTTGATAGTAAAGAAATTTCTGCACCTCTACTTGAATGTGTCATTATTAATAACCAAACTAAAAATACACTAAACAGTAAATAAAACCTTAAAAATGAAAATACAAGAACTTAGGAAGAGAATATTCAAGCCCTAACTAGAGCAGCCCCCTCTTTTCATGAGGTTTGTTTCTTTTTACAATAATGATTTTTGTTTCTTATCACTAAAGAATTTACGTGAGTTTCATCTTTGATTTTTCAACTTATCACCTAAAAAAGTTGCATTATTTATGCACATTCTGAAAGACTGAGCCCGAATTTCGTTGGCCATTGTCGACCACTAGGTGCAAAATCTGATCTCTAAATTTGACTCAAAGTCGATTACTTGTTTTTCTAAACTCGAGCTGTGCACAAGTTGAGCTTTTTAACAGCAGGTTTGAGCCATTTTTAGTTCCTTAATGGTGCAAACCATTGATCAGCTATGGAATAACAAAGTCGACATTGCTCAACTTGCGGTAGACTATAAACCTGCCAACAAAATGTGGGCCCCAGTCAGAGTATGTTTCTACTACTACTTCCCTGTTTTTATTACTCTTTTCTGTATTTCAAAACACTAATAATGCAAATATGAACCCTTACTTATGACTAAAATATTACAGAGCAAAGAATGAGTTAAGTTAGCCACTACAGAATTGAGACCACAGAAAATGTTGAAGGGCTTCCTAAGGTAATGAGTCTAGAAATTAAATTGATCATAAAATGTAATAATTGAACTAATGACACCACCAATCCCTAATTTTAGCATGCATAAGTGTATTGGAAGGGAGTCATTTGATTAGCAAATTCAGTTTTTCTGAAATGTATTTTACTTAAACTATCTATTTTGAAATGTGTTAAGCGTTGAGGATTTTATCTACGAGATAGCCAAGCATAAAAATTATGGTAGCAGGGTGGAGCAAGCATTCAAGCATGATTTGATACTTTATATTATCTTTGAATAAGTGGTACAATACATGACTTAGTTAAAGAAACACGAATTAAAGGCACTTTCATCAAAATTAAATCGAATGTGAAATAGAGCTTACATTGACTAGGATTCCTTCTTTAATTATTTTTGCATAGCAAATTCATATATCTGTATCTCCCCTCTTTTTACAAGCAAGGAGCAATTGATTAAAAGGTTCAGGGCAAGAAGGTGCGCAAGAAGGCGCCAGTTTGTGTGATCTCTAAAAGCGAAATTACACAGAATCTATATAGCACCAAAAATCTATATTAATAAAAATCGATTAGAAACTGTATTTTTGCGCTTAATTTAATATAGTTAAGACTGAAATTTGCTTTGCTTTTGAATTGGGATATGCTTCTCAACTTTAGAGAAAACATCCTTAATCTTATTCAATACATTGGAAGTGCAAATTCAATCGCTTTTGTGTTTGCTTTTGTAAATAAACAATTTTTCATATGTACTGTCTAGAAAGATATTTATGTATTTAAAAGAAATTTTGAATTTTAATCTATAGGTCTGGGAAGGATATTTTACACAATTTTCCAAGTAGTGCTGATTTGTGCATGAAAATCATTTCAATTCCCCCCCAAGTGTCAATTCAACAATTGAAGAATATGAAGCTGTCTTTAAAATTGGAACAATGTTCTGAGCTAATCTTAACCAAAAAAATACTCATGAAGAAAGCTCATTAGCAGGTAAATCTGTCAGCCCAATGGAAGTTTTGCTTTGCCCGAGACTAAATTTTGCCTGGTGTTCCTAAATTTGTAAACAATTAGGTGCACACATCCGACACTTAGCAAGGGTCATTTCATACCTCATACCTCATGTAGGTATGACCCATTTTTTAATGTAAATATAAGAGGTCGTACCTACATTTTATTCATACTGAATTTTTTCGTTAAAATCAATATTTAGAAGTGCCAATCAATCCTTGAAGTATCAAAGAAAAATGTTTAATGGAAAAAAATATTTTCTCTGCAGAAACCTACAAGATAAATTTAAGAAAATGATCAACCGACTCCAATCACTTATGAATCATAGATAACAGTGAACCTTGACTGCTAAACCCTTGTTACATGATCCAAATTCAATGAAAAGCCAAATAAATCAAAATATTTGGTAGCAGAAGCTTACTGTAAAAAAATCGAACTTTTCCGGAAAAGTCAAGTGTTGAGAGCAGTAGAAGAAATGTCTTGTAACATTCCTTTTTGCCCTTCTACGTGTACGTAATCACTGTAAGTGTTCAAGTTGTGTGCCATGCTCCTTATCAAAGTTTCCTAGGAAAAAAATTTCAAGCAGGAATTTCTAAGAACGACAAAGTTCTCTCTGCAATTCTTTCTTTCGAGATTGTCCATCCCTAAAAATTGCACTTGAAAAATCTCAGGCATAGCTCCCGCCCAGTTAAAATTGGCATCTTTTATGACAAATGCTCTTGGTTCATCGCCAAGTTGCTCATATACTTGATTTACAAGCGTTTGTTTTTGTTAAAAAATTTGCCTTGAATTTTAAACAATGCATATTCAATTCCAATTTAGTTACTTTCCAGCAGAATAATAATATAAGAATAAAATAAAAATCATTTGGATCTTGTAAACTAAATGAATGTCTATACTCTAGTGGGAGCTTCATAGTGATTATGAGCTCTCATACAGATGAGAACTTTCGCCAAAGTATAGACAGAATTTTTCTGTTTAATTTAATCCGCATACACAAACAAATTCCATAGAATTATAATTCAAGTACAAAAACTAGATAAGTATTGAAAAATATAGTCATTTCCCAATGCCCTTTTACGTTCAAGAACACGGGTTAATATTTTGTATTTAATGAATGTTCATATATCCTACATATCTATATACTCAAAATTGCATAAATATTTGAGTTTAAAAATCTCAGCGTTAATATCGCTTATCTAAAAATATTGCATTGATATAACAATCCAGATTTTGACAGATTTTTTGCTCATAAAATACGAGCAACTATCATACGGCAGGGGATTTATGTGAATACTTGATAGGTAAAAAGATTGTTCTAGTAATTGATTGCCTAATTGAGTCTACAAATATCGATTGATTAATACTGCCTAGCAATTATATACTGAAGTTATAAATAATTGATAATGGAGACCAACTGGTGATCTTCCAATCATACTGAGGGAACGAGTATTACCGTCAGTGCAATTTATTTTGATAACCGTTCGTCTTCCTGTATTATTATGGAATTTCATCCTCTGCAAGCAAACCATAAACTGTAAAGTTTGCAAACATTTCTAAACGCTCACGGCAAGAACCTCACCAAGTCTAACATTTTGTTATTCCTTGTGATGCTATCGTACGATCTCCAGTGATAATTTTTTCATAGTCATGTTTCCATTAATTCATTCAAAAGTCTGAAAATTAAAACAAAAGATATTGGAAATTTGTCAAAATCATCGTGTGTAACATATGACCCTGCCACAAAATACTTCAAAAATTGCAGAAAAGAGACTGTAAAATGTTAATTTTATAAAAAATTGTAACTTCAGAACTTACGAAATATATTGAAAACATGACACGTTTCAGGGCGCCCGGTCCTCTTCTACAGCGAAAATTCTAAATATTTTTTCCCTTTTGATTTGGAATCCTTGCCAAAGAAGGTAGAAATCTTCCCTAAACCCTTTTAAATTTGAATTTCTATTTCAAATTTAAATCATGCTTCATACTTATTTTTTTTATCAGTTTTGCCGGCAAACGCAAGGCTTTTACAGGGCTTCAAAATAGTTAATAGTCGAGGGAAAAATGGTACCCAAAATACATTGGGATTTCATTATCGACTCAAATCTTTCTACTTTGTCACAAATTTTTTTTCATCGTAGGTTCTCATGAGCCTCAGGCACTGATTGAGTTCAGAACTAGTAGAGCAAAGATTTCTGGAAATAAAAGTTATCGGGTCAATTTTAGAATCATAAATTGAACTTATTCTACTTTCTCTATGTATATTAGTAGATTCTTGGTGGAAAATATCTTGGAATTTTTGTCATTTAAGCTTGGTCTTCAGACTCCCTCAAAACATTTTCAAAACATCCTTTCTTAAAAATTCAGCAATAAAGTGAATGTTTTATCTGTTTAAATTTTACAATAGATTTTATAGGTTCTTACACTGGACGCTTACTTAAATACATGTTGTTCCAGGCTTGCCAAAGCATGCTTTCAGGGAGCTTTGCCAATGGACCTAAGCATTTTTCACTCTTCAGCTAATCCATGTTCCATTGAACTTGCATTTTGCTTATTATTTACTTGAGAGTCCTGCGAACTGTTAATGTGACAAAATTAGTAGAAAAATTTAGCATAAATGTATTGCTTTTACTATACTTACTGCTAGTTAAGAACGTGTCGAATAAAATGATGATAAGAAAGGAAAAGAAAAGCAGTGACTAGGAGTAGTGACACTTTACTATTGGTATCATTCAAGCTGGAACTATTATTTTTTTTCAGTTTGTCTTTTGGATCATCTAAACATGTAAACTCGCAGCATTCGGCACCAGTGACAAATTTTAAACATTTCTGAAAATTAAAAAGAACATAATTCATTAATTTTTCTTCAAAAATTAAAGTATCTGATGTTTTATGCATGCAAACAATGAAAGTCTATTGAAAGTACACTTCACCTCTAGATTTTTCTTGATTCAAGTAGAACAAGCACGAATTTATTAAATATGAATTTTTTGAAAAAACTTTATAATCGATTCACAATTATTATATCTCTGGAGTCAGGGATAATTGAAGATGAGGGCTGGGCCCACGTCAACAAGAAAATAACTGTCATTTGTAAGTCTTTTTAAAAACATTCATAGTTAATGTGAGGGGCTTGGAGGGCAAGGTGTTTAAGTGCAGTTTTTGAAAAATTGAGGTACCTATTCTTGAACTCAACAAAAAAAAGTTAGAAAGTACTTATATCCTGTGAATAATTCACAATTAAAATTCAACTTTAAAGCATCAAAAGTGAGTTTAAACTTCTTTTCAGCCATAGGGCTCCTTATAATTTTGAAACTTTAAAAACATATTTCTTGAATTAGCAAAAATTGCACTTATGTGGTTGTCCTCCAAGCCCCTCATGTGAGGCAAATTTCTACAGGCAAATAAAAACTATGAGACTTACATAAGGTGGACCAGGACAAAATATAGTCTTGCACCACATAGGTTCATTGTGGTAACAGACACATAGAGAACAAACATTTGGTCCAGGCACGTACAAAAATCCATGTGATATCACATTTCCTTGAAAATCTGTGCAATTTTCCTCAGCACCATCTGTTGGGAGGAAAATTCAAGATGAAACGTGGACTTTTAATTCTTTCTTTCTTACAAAGAAGTACCTATGCAAACTTGGTATGTTACCCATCCTATCAATACTCTTAAAAAAACTGTCTCACTTTTTACACCATCTCACTTTGAAGAAGGAACTCTTAAAGTCTAAAATCAGTTACTTAAAAGAAACTGTTTTCAAGAAGAGGAAATTTCATGGAAAAGAAGCTAAAGAAAATAATCACCTACGTAAGAAACCCTCTTTTGAAAAAACGAAAATTTACATAATTTTTTCACAATTCTGAAATACATGTTATCCTGTGATGAACCCTAAAGTTTTCACAGAAATTGTGCAAATTTTAAGTGCGATAAAATCATTCAATATCTTGCAAAAACTTTACAAATTTTTAGGTGTTATTTGTTTGATAAATACAAAAGGATGTAATTGGACATTAAATTTTAATTTTTATTACATGATAAATACGAGAGGGCTAAATTGGACACGAAATTGAAAAATGTCACCATTTTTACTTTAGATGATTGAGAAAAATTTCCTGTGAAACCAGGGAATTTTGAGAGTGTTTTACCTACATAAGATTCGACCCCTCTTGAGTTTTATGTTTTATTCTTGTCCCAGTTTTTTCCAATTTTTTATGATAGTCACTGCTAAACCTAAAGGGCAACTTTGGAGGTGCACCCACCCATAGGTAAGTACACCTATACTTACGTTTCAATCATAATTAAAATAAGAATAACTAATGACACATACCTAATTAAATCTTTTAGGACAACGCATGTAAATTTTTTGAAAAATGTATTTGGCACCTAAATTAACTTCACCCAGCTATTCTCCATTTGTTGTTGTAGGAATGTACCTCCCTTATCAAGCAATACCTACTTACTTACCGAATGAAGTGTAGGGCCAAATTCATCCCCCAGATACTTAAATGAGGATGGGCTAATGGCAGAGTTAGATTTTATCAATATACCCTCAAGCTTAATAAGACCATTCATAAATCATGTCAATGCTAGAAATTCTGTCCTGAGCTATCAGGACAGGTTATTCGGAACAGTAAACATCCCTTCCAAGAAGTAATGCTCAAAATAGCCAGATTACCTACAGCACAACTAGGTGAGAAAGGTTCTTACCTGCATTGTGGAGAAGTAGCAACAGAAATACACTCATTCCTAATAATATTCTAATTCTAATCAGGTTCATGCTGAATGATTTGCTTAGTTATCACTGGTTAAACATGGAGTCACAGAGTTTTTCTTTCATGGAAAATTTTATGCACAGCATCCATTGGAACAAGAAACACGACCCATGGCTATTTTATGCTGCATTTCAAACACGGTGCGCGCGCGCAAACGGAGGGATGATACACCGTTGCCAGGATGTCGATTATAATATTCATTTTCTTGCAAAGATGCAAACACATTGTTAGCAATTTTTTTTTGAAGGGATGTGGCAATGCTAAAATGACGTATCGGCACCACTACGGCTATGCGGTAAAATGAGAAACGCAAAGGAGAGAGGATAGTCCATGCTCCGTAGGGTCGTCATTTAATAGAATTGCCACGCTTTTCATACGGACTAAAATATTTTCGATTTTTCGTCCCTCCAACAACCAGTAAGCCGCTATAATTTAAAGGTCTGGCAGTCAGTTTTCTTTTTATGTCCAGAATGGGAAAAATTTATTTCATGACTCTTTCAGATCGGAAAAGGTTGCGATTAATTAATCATTTACTGCATGAATTGACACCACCGAACGTGGGCGTTGAGCTAACTGTCGACGGTAACTCTACCTGTCGGTATAAATTGCAACTAATAAGTTCAATATCTGTGTTTTTGTTTCGTTTGCTCAAAAGTCGTAGCCTACAAAATCTAGAGATGGAGCCAAAAGCAAAATATGTAATTATCATGTTGTTTGTGTTTTAATCAGGCGATAAATTGTGGTGTATCAGTGATATTCTTCAGTCAATGTTTTTCTCTCTAGTGACAATATGATTTTTGTTTCAAAACCTTTGGTTTCACCGATTTTTTACACGATGTAGCCCCAGCAAATTTTGACACAAAATGTACTTCATGTACATATTTTTTCTTTAGACCTAACTTCGTGCCGCGCGTACGCCGAGTGTTTAATTCCTGAACATTTAAGGTGAGCTAAGTACAGGATTTTTCTTTCATTTTTTAGTTTTAAGGCTACCCTCCTGCATTATTTAAATATTCTAATCTGGGACCATTAATCGGTGCATTTTCACGATAGCATTGTATTTAACCTAACCTATTTGATTCCAGCGAAATGCTAGGTATGTGCTTCGCTTTTGTACTTTCTCACAATCTGATGTAAACAGTAATCAAAAACAATGAATTCCAACCCATTATTTTTCCACTAATTTTTCAAAGGATCAAATTTGAGCGTAGCCATAATTCTTTTCTGGAAGATCTTAGGACCACTTACTATCGGAATCCTAGTTTCAGCAGGGAACTTCACATGTCAGTAACTTTTCAGTAGAATGTAGTAGCATAGAGGAAATACAGAAGGTTGTGGCAAGCGGAGAAATGTACTTTTCTATGTCACAGCTAAATATGAAGCCGCCCTTCTAATTGGTTAATGGTATCGTGGGAAAACCGAGACCTCTTCGAAATTTAAAAAGAAACCGGGAAGGTTGTGAGATTCCCTTATTTTGGCTTCAGTAACTTGTAGTAATTGACTTTTTATGTTTCAATATGTTTTTCTATTGGCGTTCGACTGTAACTGGAAATAATTTGTAAGCTATAAATATACATTTCTTATAATAATAACTTTCATCTCGACTCGTCCTGTTTGAAGGTATAACCATGTTAAATTACGTTCTGTGTGTTAAAAAAGCAGAAATTGGAGAGTCATGGTAACTAATGTTCAATTGGATGACTGTCAATGTTAGATTCAGTGGTGATGTTGGTCTTTATACAGGTTCCATCATGAAATGAACTTTTTTTCGAACAGGGCGCCAGTCCGTATACTTTTCTACGTCATAGCCAATCTTTAAGATGGCTGCCTTGCCACAACCTTCTATATTTTCTCTATAATGTGACAGTGCCTGTCCTGTGCTCCCCTCTGTACATCCTTAAGAATATCTCTCAAAATTGCATGGAAGCTCTAAGCCCATCAAACTATCAGCTGCCACAATGGACCACTAGACAAGGCACGAATTCAAGCATTCTGATGCATGTTTCTTAACCAGAATTTCCCGTAGAATACGATTCGCACAACAAAAATTACTGAAACCAACTCCTAACGAAGATATTAACGTTTTTATTTCACATTGGTTCCGAGGCATTTGAACTGCCCGCTCACAAGAAACTCAAAGCTCTACGTGAGTCGAATCGCGCACCACAACGGTTTCAGCAAGCCTCTCAATTGAGCAATGTTCATTTCCCACCATGTGTTGTTCAAACTATAAGCAATTTGCTACAGCTGAACCAAAGCGTCAAGATTGAGGTTGCCAGATTTTTATATCGCATAGACTGTCATGATAACGTTTAGCGTGCGATGTGAATCACGCAGAGCATTGAGTTTCCATGCGAGCGGGTGTTTTGAATTCACGCATCAAGAATCATTAAATATATTCGTAAGGAGTTGATTTCGGTAATTTGCGTTATGCGCATCGTGTTCTACGTGAAATTTTGGTCAAGAAACATGTACTTATCAGAATGCTGAAATTCGTACCTTGTCTAGTGGTCCATTTTAATGTACCTAAATTGATGGGATATCTTTAATGGTCGCTGTGACAGGCAGGGTCTCAAGTAGTTTGGAAAACCTGAAAAGCCAAGAAATGCACAGGCTACATGGAAATTTAGGGAACTATGTGCTTAGCATTTTGGCTCCAAAATTTCAGCCAGTGCAATTAGATTTTCAATTCCTCAGTGCCTTTTTCCACAACAGAATCTAGAAGCGGCAATTTAGTTAAAAGTATAGCAAAAATCAGCATAATTTGAAGCTAAAGAACTATTTGGAGTTTAGTGCAAAAATTGAGAAAAGTGAGAAAAATCAGAGGAATTCCTATGCCAGCTGAAACAATGAATTCTATTTTGGTACATGGTCATTAAGTATTAAATTATTCATGAAGATTCTGGGTACAAATAGAAAAAAAATATTCTTTTGTAAACTGGTAACTGTTTGTTTAGTGTCTAATTTGATTCCAGCAGACTAAATTTTTTGGGGGGATGTGGAATTTCTGAATTTCGGAGTATGAAAAATGCTCATCTCTCACCTATGTAATAAAATCAGAACTTGTCTGTATCCCCGCAAAATAAGTGAGAATTTGATGAGAAAGCTTGCACTGCAATGCTTAGTTTGTGACGTCTTGTACATCTACACATACAACTCATAGATAGAATGGAATCATGTACTTACGAATCGACAGTCACTGATAAAACTCTATGCCGTCTCTTTTTTTCCAGGAAAATGGAGGAACCAGCCAGAGCTGAGACAATAGAGACTTTGGAAAAGGAGTCAGAAACAAGAATAGCAGAAGTAACCTCAAATGATGGTGACAAGGGAAACTTAAACAACCAACCAAATCCTCTTGAGTGTTCGATATCAGAAATAGTTGTGGAGGAAAGTCTATCGGAAGGAGCTTCAGTGACAGACACTATGGAGAAAACTACAGTGGAAGAAGCGCGTGGCGAAATCTTAATGCAAGAAACTCAAGAGGAAACTGTTACTCAGACCAGTCAGGATACTCAACCTGCTTCGCGTCTTGTCAAAGTTGATAACTGGGGAATATTCTTTCTGCAGCAGCTCCATATGTTATATTTGAACAAAACGGACTGTGATTTTAACCTCCAGTTTCATGATGGACACAAACTTCAAGTAAGTATTTAAGAAAATTTTTAAAATAAGGGAGCTAATTATACCGCACAAGTTTTCGTTTAAATAAAAGGTTTTCAAAAACTCACTTGCGGCGACTTTTTTCCTGAGAGAAAAGTAGGTATCGAAGAAAAATTCATAGAATTATACACATTTTTAGTGTTAGTGCAAGGTGAATCCAGGTACCTAGTTTCTGATATGTCAGAATCGTTCCTACTAATGTTGGTTTCCAGTTTCATGTGAATTATTCTTCAAAATTAAAATTCCTTTGTTAGATTACTCCAAAATTTTCGTTTTTACAGCGTCTTTACGGTGGATAAGTGCAATGAGTCTGTTGCCTGCATGAGATACGGGCACATAGATATACACAGTATGGGTAAATTTGCCTCAAAAATCACGTTGGGTACATTAAAAAAGTCTGAAATCCACTCCTTAGGGCACAATCTGCATAGTTCATAAGATACTGTTTCAAGTTCCTTCGTGAAAAAGCGTTTGATAAGCTACCTATGCAGATTGCGCTCTAACTTCATAACTAACTCAGGACTAAGACTTCAGGATAATTCAGACTTTTTCGAGCAAATTTATTCCTGGATAATGCATTCAGTTGGCTATATCTCTTGCGTGCAACAGAACCATTTTTGGGGGTAAGTTACGTAGGGCCCCAAGAGGGACTTGTCACGAAATGAAGGAAGGCCAAATAAATTTTGGGGAAGTCTTCGAACTTTCTGCACCCATGATGTAACTAAGTACAATGCTTGCCTAAAAACTGGTTTTTGTCACTCTATTTCTTTGTGGCTAGAATGAATTTTTTTTCCTCCTTGTCCAGATTGAGGTATTTTACCAAACAGCAACAAGAAAAAGTTCCATTGTGTCTCAAGAGCCAGGGGGCCAGAGCCCAAAGGATTACATTCTCTCAATAATTCGTCAGTTCATTTGTTTTTTCACCCCAAGTATTTATTATCCTCTGATCTCATTACGAATAGACCAAATTAGAGAAGCGATTCAAAAACTTGATTCTTTTTGTTCTCAAACTTCAATCTCAATAAGATAAACTGAATATTGATAGACTTTTTCAGAACCTCATCAATGTGTCCTCTACACCAAGTGTATATTTTTCTTGCTATCTACCGGGCAAGAATATTGCTCTCAGTGTTGTACTCTTTTTACTGTTCATATAATGTGCCCATATTCTCAAATGTGTATTGTTACAGGTCCACCGAAATGTTTTGAATGCTTGCACAGAGTTTTTCAAGAATTCTAATATTGAAGGATGCAACGTTTTACTTCCAGTGGAGTTTTCATATGAAGCATTTAATGCCATTGTGAAGTAAGTGTTCTCTTAGATTTAATCATGGGGAAAATCATACTTTTTAAGAGAGAAAATAATTACATATCTAAGTATGTAGTATTTAATAACTATAACACTCAGAAAAACTGACCCCAGTGCCTAAAAACTTGCTATAGATCTCTACATTGGGTAAGATTTAAAGCATCACTAGTATCACACATTGAAATTATGCTAAATCTACCAATAAATGACAGATTAGCATTTAGGATAAACAGTGAAATAAATTAATGAAAACTCCATTTGCCCTCCAAAGAAAGAAAATCTTTGAAGGTCAAATTTGTCATCAAAACATACATAGTGATGCTCGGCTCTGCTCTTACTATACGGAGAGAAAAACTTCGTGCATGGGACCCAAAGTTGAGGTCATATGGATCTCCGAAGTTTTCGGATCACGCTTCCAAAAATTTGAGATCCAACTGCCGAAGTTCGGGCCAGACACCTGAAGTACTTCGGTATGTACCAAGTACTTCAGATGTGTGACCTGAACCCTTCAGTATGTACCTAAGTACTTCAGATGTCGGACCCGAACTTCGGCAGCTGGACCTCAAGTTTGCGGTTGTGTGATCCGAAAACTTCAGAGGTCCATATGACCTCAACTTCGGGTCCCATGCACAGTTTTTTTCTTTGTCTAATCTAATGACCCTCTACGCTATTGGTGCCACCACCAGGAGAGATTTTCTCTGTATAATTGACCACAAGTTACACAAAAATATCATTGAAATCTAGCACAGAAATAACATAAGAATGACTACGGAACAATACTGCTTGACAATTTTGCAGGATTAAGAAAATCTTTGCCATATTTGTAATTTTGAGATTAGATTTGCAATTGTCTTTATACATCACAGCATCATTATAGGGCTCCCATGCAGAATTGGAGAAAATTAAAAACATAAGCTTTTTTTCAGAATTTTATACTGTAAAATGCAGGAAAGTTGCTAACTTATTTTCACCAAAATGGTTAGTTATGCGGTATCGTTCCTTAACTCTTGATAAGCTACTTGCACTAAATAGCCTGATTTCAACAAAAACTGGAAGGCACATTTTTTGAAAGATTTTTGTCAGCACAAACAACTTGCTGCCTGAAAGACTGATGTTCTGGTTAAAAATTTAGTGACTTGGTTGCTTGTCTTAGTGCTACATGGACACCTGGCAAATGCAGAGGTCAGGAAGTTCCAAGCCTTTCGCCAAATACAATGGGCCCTCCCCCATTTATAACCAATGAAACTGCATTTTGAAAGAGGATTTTTCATAATAATGCTGCAGTAGCAGTTGGAAGGTGCACCATCTATCTGCTACTCATTTTGATGAAAAATAAGGCCCTCCTTTTTTCTTCCACCGAATTGTACTACAACCTGCAAAGTCCATACTACGACTCCTCAATCACACTGGTGTAGCCTGCAGTTTATTTTCCAACTTCCTTTTCTGCTCAGGTTTTCATTTTTCTCTCTCACATTTTACAGTTTTATGTACACGGGGCGACTTGAGTACAGGGATGATATCTACAACAATATGTACTCAATAGCAAAGGTGCTGAAAATGGCTGTACTTGTGAAGTTACTGGAAGCTCAAATTCAGAATCAGGTTAGTCATCTGTTGTATGACACCGCTTTGACCGCACAAATAAATATCATTTTTACTAAGTTTGATCACTCTCCGGAAGTATCCGTCAAGGGTATTGTTTAAAAAAAATTACATTTGATACCTTGGATACTCTGATTAGAGTTTTGTTTTTTTGTTCTTTTTGGCACCAAAATTGTGGAAAAAAATTGAATCAAACTAAAGTTTAAACAGTTTGAGCTTTGGAATTTAAGAAATAAACTTTAAGCCCAAAATGAGCTTGTTAATATCATTTCGGGACACTCTAGAAAATGTAGGTATTCCATTGAAAATCGTTTTTGTTCGGATTTTTCCAACTTGACAAGAATTGCTCTCCTAAAAAATTAGCCTACATTTTGCAATGGAAAACTACTGTATCCAGCTCATCCACAAAAGCATTTTAATTCACATGAGGAAATTAATGGCACACATTGCTGGTCGAAGTGCAGAACCATGTAACTCCACTTCGGGGTTTCAACAATCTCGCTCCTCTTCTATTTTTTCAAGGAGAAACAAACCAAATTTATACCTTGAAATAAACACAGAATATACTGCTGGCAGAAAAGAAAAATCAGGAAAGTTTTAAAGAAATTACAGGGATTAGTTTACCAAAGAAAAAATGAAGTCTGACAGGAAATCTGTAACGTCGCAAAGGGAGAAACGTGGTTTGCACTTTGACCGTTGGTACAGTGATTTTAAAATGAGACATAAATAGTAGTCATTAATCGCCAAATGTAACTTGTCCAGATTAGTGTGCAAGTAAAGCATCAAATTGCTGTATCAAATGTTATACTTTTTTCATTTATTACCCTAGGTACATTAATTTCATATAATACTAAAAACTTCTCTGAATGACAGTATGTAGGATGTTTGTCTTCCTCTTTTTTTCTTTATACGTGCTGTAGGAGCCATCTATGATTGAATAATCCATGTAAGGGTTTCCTTTCTTATTTCAGGATAGTTCAGCGGTGTCAGCATTTAACAGCATTGCAGCTGATGGTAAAACAGCTCCACTTTTTGAAGCCAAAGTAGGAAAAACAACCAAAATGGTGAAGAAAGTAATAGCCAATGGAAAGAAATCGATCATCAAACCTTTATCTCCCAACTTTCCAAAGTCAACTCTTCCTGGTAAAAAGTATGTATACCAAGTTGAATTCGTACTTTGAAAATTTGGCGGTAGTAAGGACTGATTCTTCTCATAGACACCATTTGTAGACCGCCATTTTGAAGAGGCTTTGATATTTTGGAAATTGAATGTCAAATTCATTTTTTTGGAGTCCAATAACCAGAAAAAACTTTGTATCCCAATCAATTAACAAATAGCAGAGATGCTACTTTTTCTGCCACTTTGAATTGAGCAGCAACCATTTTGAAAGACGAAAGATATAGGCTTGCAATTTCTAACAAACTATTTATTTTCTTTGTATTCTTTCAAAATAATGTGTTGTTAAAAGGAGCCGCAACTGAAATTGTTGTTATCCTCATCTCTGGGCCCCTTATGTAGGCTCCTTTGGGGGTTATAACTGCTTTCAAAACTTTCCCCTTGGATAAAACTACGATAGTACGGACTGGAACAGTTTTATTCAGAAATTGAAAATATAATGAAGTGTCCAGTGATTTTTTGCCCATACCTGTAAATGTAACAGAAATACACTATAATCATATGAAATTGCAGGTGCATTCAAAGGAGGTGCAGAATGCTTTGGGAAGATTGAGCTGGGACGTGCGCACCCTCCTTGTTTATGTAAATTAAGACATTAGGGAGCCTATCCATTCCTTTTTCTCACACTGCGTGCTCATTTGTAATCTCTGTTTTATGTAGTTTGAAAGTGACATCGAATTATAAATATGAGTAGTTGAAAGGTTTTTCTATGTAACTAATATTCACTTAAGACATTTAAAGACATCCATGTCATTGACAGGGTTGACACAATCAGCAAATGTGGGATATCCCAAGAAAGGTCAGGGAATTTTGGAAAGTCAGGAAAAATTTATAAATGTCAGGCAAAATGACGAAAGTTCAGGGAAAAATTGTTGAGTCACCTTTATTTGCTTTCTCATTTGACGTTCGAAAAGAAAACTAACTCAAATTATGTCTTTTAACCATCTTGCATACCCTCAATTATCTAGTGAAATGATGGAAATGTCAGGAAATTTCATTTTCCAAAGTCTGTGGCAACCTTGTATCAAGAAAAATCCAATTTACAAGAAATATGATCAAGCCCCTCCGTCGCTGAAGTACCTTTACTAAAATCACTCAGACTACTCTCTGGGGAGAAAATTTATAAATTTAGCCCTGACTTTATTTTATAACATACTGAATTGATCACAAATAAAAAGTATTTTTCCGAGACGTTTAATGAGATGTTGCCTTTCACAGGTTACCGATTTGGAAGAAACGGACAAAACCATTAGAACCAACTCCATTCTTAACAACAAATGGTATCTTAAAGCGGAACATGTAAGTAAAATCTTCCAATTTTTCTTTTTGCACCTGTTGAGCTTGTCAGAAGGCTCACGTACCTTTCCTACATTGATTTTTTGGCCTTTCCATTAGAAAATCTCTGAAAATTTTCAAAAGGCCAGGAAAAATTTTACCCTAAAATGTCTGAAAAACATGTGTTTTCAAATCTTTCTTGGGGAGGGAGGGGGGTATAAAAAAAACAAGCATCTTTCCAAACTTTTCAGGACCCAAGATGCCTTTTAGTATGTTGGCTGCTGATGACTGATGTCTAAAGCTTCCTGAAGCTCCGCAATGATGCTGTTATGCACCTGTAAGTTTCTTTTTGTTCTGAGTTGGGTTAATGGACCCAGTGATCGGTGCCAAGCCAAAAGCAAATTCGTACAGCCCTGTCAGTCCGTAGCCATATGTATGAATGCATGGAAACATGAGGCCCACAGCAACGGCAGAATACAAAAACTGCTTATGGACATAGAGTTGCTGGAATCCTGAGCGTCAGGCCCTTGGTAGTCATCATGTCAAATTATTCAATTTTCTTTAATTTTCATGTCTTTAGTTTCGCTGTCATGTTTGTTCTTGACTTTGAACTTTTGATAAGGGGAAATTTACACCTAGTTGGTATCATAAGTACTCCCAATTCGTTTTTTCTCAAAATGCGACTTGATGCGCTTCTGTGAAACTCGATTCTGATGTAAATGCTCGTACCCCGTCCCTCAATATTTTACCTGCAAAAAAGTCGCTACAAAATTCAAAAACATTCCTATCAATGCAGTTTTTTATTTTCCTCCTACCCCCTGCAGAATTATTAGCCAGTGGTGGATCCAGACTCGTTTTAATTACAACATAAAACAATAATTGAATTTAACTGTAGGGATGTTTATGAAAATTCACATCCCTAGCACCAATATCCTTTGGGAAACTTCGGTTTTCTGGAGGGGAAAATCTTTCCTGCTGGGTTCACAAAAAAGTAGAAAATAGTTGTCAAAAAAAGCCTTATTTATTGTTCAGACCTTGAATTCTCCTCCTCTCTTACAACTTGTCTTTAGCTGTTTGCTGATTTATGTTTTTTATTTCTGTGTAGATTGGATCCTGCAACTCCTGTTCGTTTTGAATGGCCTGACAATACCCAAGAGCCCACATCATTGCTGGATGAATTTCAGGATCTTTCTTATGAAACAAAGCCTCTTCTAAAACCTAATAGTGGTGAACTCAAATATCTTTCTGCTGAAGATTTTGATTCAAAAGTCAACACTGTTCTCAAGAGGAAATTTACTGAGGAGTTTTCAGAAGAATCCTTTGAAAAGCGCTCACGATATCAAGGCACAACGGATCAGATTTACTCCACCGACGATTTCAGTAATGTTGATACGGAACCCACCATTAAAGATACACCTCAAATAGATGTAACCTTTAATGATTATGATGATAGCAGTGATGATGACAATGCCGGTGAAATGTTATCGCAGTCTTCCACAGGTCCTAGTTCTAATTTGAACCCAATTTCTGGCAATAGTAGGCCCAGCCCCTATTTGAACCATACTCCTAGTGATGACAGGCCTAGTAGTGATTCTAACTGTACTCCTAGCGATAGCAGGTGTAGTAATGATTTGAACCGTACTCCAAGCGATAGCAGGCCTATCACACCCACTACTTCAACTCCCAAACCCATATTGAAAACTAGCGGAACGCCCTCGTCCCAAAAGAAAGTTAGATTCTCCCTCGAGGAGAAAGAGAACGCCCAAAATATTGATGACCAGAATGGCAGTTCTATCGGAAGTAACAAATCTGGACAAATTAGACAAACAAATAGTTTTTTCAATACAAAGACAGGTGATGTTGATTCTGTGAGTATTGTTGACAATTCAGGATTGAAACCTGTCCCGGGGAAGCCGTATTTTATTGAGAAAGATGTGGCCTCCATAAAGCAAGCTTGCATTGGCAAGTCACCAGTCACAGAAAAACTAAGTGTTAATCCCAGTTCTACTTTAAAAAATAAAGGTAAAGTGTTAGCAAAAAAAGAGCCAGAACTCCGACCTGATAATGCTTTTGAGAAAAAAGAACAGATTATGAATTTAGTTCCAAAAACAGAAGCCACCGATGTTGAACATGAAAACATTTCTGTTGAAGCTGTCTCAGTTCACAAGTCAAATAAAACTACCCTGAAGTCTTCAGAATCCCAGATCTCTGATCAAAATCAAGTTTCTTTGAAACCTGATGTGCCAACTGGCAAAACTGCGCCACCAAACCATGCCAGAATTGTGCAAGAAGTACTGAAAAAATACCCACATCTATTGCATAAAAACGTACGGCTAAAAATTATGAATCCTGATGGGAACAAAGACTCTGTAATGAATATAAAAATCAACCGTCAAACTAGTAGTAAAATTTCAAAAAATATTCAATCTCCGAGTGGAAAGGGGAAAGATTCCAATGGGGTAGTAGAAACTCCAAAAAAATCCTCAGTCAAAGACCCCTGCAAACCACCATGGTTGTGCTCTCCATGCGGTATCAATGGTAAGCCACGGAACTTCGAAAGTTATTTCCTATACCACAAACATTTGCAAGAAATTCATAAAGAAAAAATGGATTCAAGAATCTGCCCCCACTGTGGACAAAAGTTTACAAAACGCAACTTGCTCCTCTACCATCTACTTACAAAACATAATGTACCTCCTCCGCGTAATATGGTTTTCCCTAAATGCGATCAGTGCGATTACATTGCGCTGAGTGAGAGTTTGTTAATAAAACACCGAAAGTCCACTGCCCACCAATCTGAATTCGAATGTAAGGTCTGTTGCATGAAATTTAAAAGTAATGGTGCTCTCCAAGGTCACATGCAAACCAAATTACACTACAACGAGCCTCCTAAATTGTATAAGTGCCTGTATTGTAATGATACGTTCAGCCGTAATATCAACCTGAAGGCTCATATTCGCAGCGCTCATATGAAAGGACCCCCTCAAGAGCAAGTTTTTAGTGATGCTCATCTCTATGATAAAGGGTCCATGGAACAGCAGAGTAGAGCTGGAAGCGAAGAGTGTACTTTAGTCTTAAACTCAGGTGTAACACTGGTCACGGATGCAACTCAAGTACCGTTACTTCCATCATCAGAATCTGAGGCATTAAATAATGTTGCCAGTGGCATCGCTACTTCAATAGGATTGAACGATAGCTTAGTTAATGGTGAAACAGTTATTCTACTAAATGAAGGCACGGAATACTTTTTACAGAATAGTAACAATCAAGGAGAATATATTGTACCAGAAATTTTATCGCACTCAGACCAAATTTACGCATTTCGAGGGAAAGATCAGCTAGAGCAAGTTACACAGTTAACTAATTTGTGTCCTGATGTTCCCACCTCCGTGAGTCATATTATATCTGAAGATACTATAGTAACGATAGATGATGGCTCTCATCATTATGCCAGTGAGTATAGTGTACCATTGTCATCGGCCGATCAAGTGCATACCCGTGATAGTAATCAGTTAATTCTTTTTACACTGAGTGAGTCAGATTCTGCCCAAAAAATGTGCAGTTCAAACTCTCAGACCATCATTGTTACGCAAGCTAGTGAAAATTTACCAGTAAGACCAATGTACTCAGGTGAAGTATGTCCCACAGATAAAATTCCTGAGGCCAGTTTTAATAACAGCATCAATTGCACAATACCTGCTCAGTTTGGAACTGAGACTGTAGTTACTGTCGCAACGGGTCAGGAACAGAATTCAGAGACATCCTTGATTGAGAACTCATCCAACAGTAGCGGGGAGGTGGAGTCTTCAACTCTAAGCATAGACTTGGATCGTTGCAACCCAGATAGCTCTTACGCTGCTTCAGTGTCAAATGAAGATAGTTTCTCTGCGGGTTCAGAGGTTGTCACAGAGCCAATTGCAGGAGACCTAGGTAGATCGAGCTGTAAAGCAGGTGCAAAACAAATGGAAGCATTAGTCCAAGATTGGGACGAATTTAGTGATGAGGAACAGCCAGAAGAAGTCGATGATGACAGAAAAGTTTCCAATATGCCGTGCCGACCAGTTTTTGGTCCACTTGAAACTGATCAGTTCTAGTACTAGTGTTTCAAATAACTTATTTCTAATTCATCATCAAACTTTGTGTCCTTGCTTCAGAGTTCTCTGAACATGTATGTATGTAATGATGCTTTTATATCTGTACAGCATAAATCATTCAAATTTTGTAAATCTTTCCCATCACATATTTGACGAATTATCCGTGCCAATATTTAACGAAACTTATCATTTTAGACAAAAATCCATCAGCCCAAGCTTACAATAGTGATGGTATGCTTAAAGTTTTTTAAAACAAAATCAATCGTACTGTTCAGTTAAAAGATGACTGTTAGATTTCCTCCAGCTTTAACTATATTTAGACCTAGATATTCTCCATCTTTAACTGTAATGAGATTTATAAGAATGGGTTGACAGAAATTCCACTCCTTATGCTATGGTAGAAACCTGACTGCGGCAAAATGAATTGGATCCTCCAGAGTTACTGCTTTAATCAATCCATACTTCAGTCTCAGCAACTTTAAGCCTTGCGTGTCCCATATATTTCAACACAAAGATCAGCAATCACAAATCGAAGGCTAATTTTGAAAGATGGTGTAATTGTAATAGAATTCCAATGGCCTTCTTGTTGCTCTTCAAATTAGTCGTCCAAATGCGTTCCTCTCAAAATGAAAAGGAGATGGAATCATGCTGCTGTTTTTTCTTGTTTAATGTTGTGAATCCAGTGAAACTAATTCTGGTGTGTGAGAACCAGAGAACTTTGCCTTGGTTCCTACTGTAGTTAATATCCTCTCAAAATATTTTTAATTTGAAGCAAATTCAGGCATTAATTTGATATGAGCTATTTTTAACTTTGCTCGGCTGCTTTTAATGGGGGAAAAAATAATCTGTCATTCATAATAGTCTCAATTTTGAGAAAATCAGGGTTTAAAATAGAGCTGCTCAGCAATGAGTGGCCTGAGTGAAATTGTGAACCTGTCCTGAAGTCATATAATGTTAAAAATGAACCCCGTCTATTATGAAAGACAACATTTTTCAGACCTATTTTAGAATTGACAGGTCTAATGTTGATTTTCCTATGCAGACAGGTGTTTTTATAGCTGCACCTGTGCTTCTGGCTGCTGATCGATGTAGGCTGTCCAAATAATGTCCTTATCCTCGCTGAAACTCAATGATATTGATCTCAACATAAGAATGTTTATTATTTATTTTAAATAGCTGTACCATTTACATTGTTTTGTGAAGAGCACAAGGAAGCCTCTTCATGCTTGGTAGCAGTACCAAAACCTTTTTTTTAAAACTCAAAGCAAAAATTAGTTGGAGTCAGGTATTGTTTAAAGTTTAGAGTGATCATGGATTTTTTGATCTGAAACAATTGTGGCTACTGCAATCACATGAGGAAATAAAATGAATACTTGTCAAATGTAGACAAAAGTGAATCAAATATAAATCATTGTCTTCAAATGCAGAGTTTGCAATGCTCTGAATCCAGCAAAGTTTGAGCAAAGTCTCAATTGTTTAGGTACCCACAGTTGTTCCATCAAGCAGATTTGTAAATAAGCTCTTACTATGAATAAGTTTTTGTTTTTAGTTAGTTTTTTTTATAGAAATTCGTAGTTGTTCAATGAGTTATTCTTTCAATTACTTATTTACTTTATTTATCAGTTTGTATGTCAGTCAAATATGGAGTATTGCCATTGTCCATTTGTTGTAAAGCACTCAAGGCCTGCAGAGAGTAACATTTGAAACTGTAAATGGCTCAAAAGAAATCCAACTTAAGTGCTCAAGGAGCCTCACGAGCTAAACTGCCGTGCTAAGGAAGAACGCTGTATGTACATTCGAGTTTCCCAATTTCCTTCGGTAAAATGTTTATTTTTCAGGAAAGCTAGGAATATTTCTCCTTGAAATTTTCAGGAAGTTTGTGTGAAATTGTGAACAATATTATCTGAAAAATTGGGAGAAAAATATTCATAAGTTTATCAGGAAATTCGTGTGTTATCAATCGAAATTTGGCGACATTTTGAGTTTCATACAGCGTTTTTACTTTGCACGGCAGTAAAAGAGGTGGACTTGCAATATGAAATGCATAATATATTTTTACATTTAATCATTCAAATGAATAATTTTTTAGAACAACATGAAAATTTCATTTGAATGACCAGCTACTGCACATCACAAATCTCATGATTGTTAAGCTTTCGTCACTGAATGAACCTCTATCAATATTAATGAGTCAGACTCAGCGATACTGCAGTCCTCATATTTACCTGCCATTCAAAATTCTCAGATTTTTCTTTCCCCAACCTGTGTACTTATCAGATACTAATATTTCAGTCAGCACAATGTTGTTTGCCTGTTAGCGCTTTATTTGATAAAGGAATTACTTGTTAATTCTTGTAGAGGGAAACCACAAACTCTTAGATTAAATTAAGAGAGAGCAGCAGAATTGAAGCGCTGGGTGTAGAAAGGGGATTTCTTGGTCATGTTTTGCCAGAATTTCCGCTATGGAGCATCTATTGTGCTCAAAGCAAATAAATGAAAATCATCAAAACTATTACTAATTTTCTCCATGGATTTACAATGCTATCAACGAAATATTTCAGAAAAATATTTCAATAGTTTCCCATCTAAAATATTATTTAGTATCAAAGATTTTGAAAAATTGCAGCTGAGATTTCCTTTCTGCACCAAACGCCTGAATCGCTCTTCTTACTATACATGTCTTAGACTTATATTTTTGATAAATAAGAACAGGAAATCTTTCATTTTAGTCAAGGGAAGCTTACGAAAGGTTTGGAGAGAGGAATTTGTTCCCTGAAGACTGACACTGTGATGATTGATTGTATGACTAGGGCTGAAGAAATTAAGGTTATGGTGCCAACCCCAAAAAATAATTTTTCACTTCTAATTCTTGCTTCTCTTTCACTTTTAACACTAAATATCAGGAGACAAAAATATTTGTAATATTTGTAAATTTTCGTTGTTATTCCATGTAGCAAGTGTCCTGCTCTTTATCCTCTGTTATATCGGGTGCAAAAGACCTTAGGAATGAAAAACAGGAAGCACCATTAGTAGCGGAGCACATCATAATGTAGTCTGTCACTCTGTATTTCTGAGTCTCAACTGCAGGTGCATATGTCAATCATAACGAATCACAATACCACACACTACCATTCATTCTTCGTAAGAGAAAAAAAATACCCGTATTTTGTCTTGAAATTTCTTTAGTTTGAACATTTAACTGTTCAGAGTAAGGAGATAAAATTACAAGCAGCATTTTGAATTCATTTTCCCCCTTAGAAATGAAGTATTCGCGGATATTTTGAGATGATGTTACATGGAGTTGGATTTCAGCCGTTAATATATATCATTAGGGGATTGATAGGTACCCAGTTTCTGCTTTTCTCCTCTCTATTTTTTGTCTCGTATGTTTCGTTCAGTTTTTCTTTTTCATTTTGTGTGGCAGAATTGTTCAATGACTTGACTATTCTGTTATTTTTTCATTGCTTGCCTTCTATCGAAAGGACCTTAAACAACATTACACAGACCTTAGATCAGTGATGTGCCTCTTTTCTCAATCAGGTTTATTCAGCATTTCCATTTTTATTTATTTATTTTTTTTTAACAGGAAATGCTCCTGTTAAAAAAAAAATTATACCCCCATTTACATCTAATGCACCTTATCGACTGCATTACTGCTTCTTGCTTTTACCTGTTCTGATTTCTCACCTGTCGAAGTCCACACAACTTTGGCTCTCAGTAATGATGTATTGACGGTGAAACTGCAGGAATATGTATATTGTTATCGCTGTTTCAAAATCTCCGCTACCATTTCATTTTAAAGAGAACAAACCAAAGCTATTTCTTGAAAGGTCCACAGAATATTCTTCTTAAAGGAAAGAATAATCCGGGAAGTATTCAAAAAATGACGACGAGTATTTTTCCACTATAAACATGAATTCTGCAATGTCACAAACTGAGATACGCATTCCTGCAGTTTCTCTGTTGATTTATTCTTTGTATTATTTAATAAAAAAGTTACAGATTACCTGTTATTTTTTTAAATGCTAATCATTTAACTACGAAGGTAATGTTACAAGTCTTAACCATAGCCATACTGATCAGTTTTTCTCACAAAAGTGTCTGAAAGTTCTTTGTATTGTGGAAGTCAAATGTGTTTACTCCAAATATGTGGGTATTTTGAAAGTCTGTAACTTAAACTCTAGTCGTTTTTAGTTTAATTATCTTTTTACAGAAAATGTTTGCTTTTCATCGTTCAGGAGTAAATTCAATAATAAGATTGTTTGTTTACTGTAACAGTGAGAATACATTTGTATTTACAAGTATGACATGATTTTTGTTGTATTTACTTTTTCATATCCTCCTCTACATAAATATTTTTTTTTACCTCTTCTGATGGGAACTACGTTTACCTCTATTCTAATGATTGATCATAGATTACTTGCAATCTTTCCTTCCCTTCTTGACAATTTGACACCCAAGAAAAGCACTATACGTAGGTTTAATTCAGGATTTCACCCTCAAGAAATTAATGATTTTTTGGTGAACAATAGGGCTGCTCATGATTAATTGTCAGAATTTTTTTTGAGTTCCATGGAGGTCGATCAGCACTCTTTTCACCTCCAAGAAAATTTTCTGTCCTATAATTTGAACAGAAACTTGTCTCCAAAAGGACGAGTCATGTTTCTTTCTATTATGACTAATTAACCATCTTACAATATCTACAGTGTAAGTCGGCAATCAGTTAACTCGTTTGCGGTGTCTGAAAATCTTTGCCTCTATGTTATTATTTTAAAGGAGAACAAATTGACATCATTCCTTGAAGTTTATGCTGAATTTTCTTCGCACAGAGAAAGAAAATCACAGCAGTTTTAAAGAATTGTTGTTGAGTAATTTTTCGTTTAAAAAATAAAGTATGACAGGAAGTCTGCGATGTCGCAAACCGATTTATGTGATTGCCGACTTACACCGTCGATATGTGCCGAAGTAGCAGTGATTTTTCTACTTTTTTAACTCAAATGTTTTCAAAATTAACTTATACATACAGTACTTAATCCCTGTAGTTCAATAGAGTGAACTTCCAATGGTGGGCACGATTTTCCATATCATTTACTTGATGTGAAATTTTGGCAACCGTTTTCAGTTCCGTAACCGTTTTAGTTTCTCTTTGATGAGTTAATTAGACCCCTTCGGAAAATAATTCCAAATCATGCCTATTCCAAATTCATCTTCGGAAAGGAAAGCTGGAATATTAGTGGGCGTCCTAAGGGGTCTAAAAAGTCCTTTTTTCAGTAACTATCCAACGATATGAACAAAGTAGGGCTCAGTTTGGTAGTGTCCCTAGTTTTTCTGTGGAAGAAAACCCCTGAAGTGTATT